GGTATTTTGTAGGGCGCTTGTGGAGGGTGTAGGTGTCGGGGGGCGCGTGTTTGGTGTTTGTGGTCGTGTTTTGTTTGTTTTGTCTGATTTTTTAAGTCTGGGGGCTTCGTCCTCGCTAGAGGATTCCGCTGTGTGTTTTTTGCGTTTCTCTGTGCGTGTGTGTGTGGGGTGTGTGTGTGGAGGGTGTGTGTGTGTGCCTGTCTGGGGTATATTGTCTGTCATTTGTTTGTCGATAAGTTTGTCGAGTTTTTGGTGTAATTTAGTGGTGTTTTCGTCCGAAAGTTTAATTGTTTTTTGCAAATCGACGATTTGTTGTGTCATGGTTAGTATTTGTTGGTATTGTCGGGTGTTTTGTTCTGTCAGTTCGTGTATTTGTTGTTTCAGCGTCTCGCCCCCACGCTTCCGCGCTTGCAACTGTTCGCACAAATCTGTTTTACTGGTCATATTACTTGGCGAAGCGGAGACTCCCGAAGAGGGTCCCCCGCCGTCTGCACCGCCCATGCACATGCACACGTTCCCCCCGCCTTCGGAGCCCGACATTCGCGCGCGCGCGCGCGCGCGCGCGTGCGCATGCGCGTGTGTGTGCGGGAAGGTGTGCAAGTGCCAGTCGAGTGGGGACGCCCCCTCACGGGGGCGCACGTGTCCCCCGGTGCACCTGTCTGTCCGGTACACTGCCCGTCGGGGGTCGCAATTCCAAAGAAATGCATTCCAAAGTAATGCAAACAACTGACAAACAAGCAAAAACCCACCTGGGCACAACCCCGGCACAGGCGCTATAACAAAGATGCCGACGGCGTCTATGCTTAAGCCGGGGATTAGGTCGGTGATTAAAAGGAAAGAAAGGGATTCCCTCCAGGCAGCCCCAACAAAGGCAGGCAGAAATTGCTCCTTGCACTACACTTTCACAAAACACGTGTGCTCTGGTCGGCTGCCCGCTAGGAACTGATTTTAAGAATCGAGAACTCGGTACTCGAATACTTTTAAGAATCGAATGATTATCCGAGACACAGACTTCTAAGTATATACTTAGAAGTCTGTGATCCGAGAACCGAGTACCGGACCGAGACCAAATGAGTATCCGAGAACTGGACTCGAGAACAGCGACAATGCAGAATCGGTGTATGTCGGCGACACGGTGTGGATTCGAAAGCATCATTGGGATATTTTTATTCGTACTTGCATCGATGGTAGCTTAGCAGTTAGTAATTAAGGTAAACCTCGCAACGAACGAGAGATGTGGTTTGTTTCACGCAGCATTTTCCGTTATTAAATATTAATTTTTTTAGTTATTTTATAATTATTGAATTCTTATTATTAAAATGAAGCCTGGCTGCAAATCATTAGTTTGGGATATTATTTTAAAAAAAGTAATAAATAAGTAAAAAGTTTAAATTATTTGGCAATACAACAAATCTTAAAAACAGTCAATTTTGGCCTCTAAAGCACATCCGCCTAGTGTCTAGTCCATCTATCTACCTGCCCTGAGGGATACTCGAAATCTCGTCATGAATTCTCAAGTATTCGAATGCCGGCATAAAAGTTCTCGAGAACAGCGAGAACTTTTAAGAATCGAATGGATATCGATTCTTGCATTCGAATTCTCCCATCACTACCAATTTTATATTATTTATATCGAGTTTAGTAGATATATTGGGGAGCGGGGAGGTATACTAAACCTAAAAACTAGAAGTCAAGTCAATAATTATTACAATTTGTTTTTATAAATGGTAAATAGAAAGTTTCGAAAATAATTTAAATATGGTAANATGGGGCCCACCTACGAAGGCTGTCCAGGCCTACACGAGATGAGGCAGGATAAAGAGGGATAATCCCCCTCGATCCCAAATCATTGAGGCCAATTTCTAGCCATAGAATAATGGCGCGAGTGGTGTGAAATACTTGTTATTTTCATAACAAAGGTAGAGCCGGATAACGAACCCGCACGAACCCGTATCTATTGCAGACGGTTCAAAGTACAAGCACAAGGACCGTGGAACACGTATACATTATCCAAATATGAATATGAGATAGTGATGGGCAGAATCGAGTATTTTTAAGAATCGAGAACTCGGTACTCAAATACTTTTAAGAATCGAATGATTATCCGAGAACCGAGTACCGGACCGAGACCGAATGAGTATCCGAGAACAGGACTCGAGAACAGCGACAATGCAGAATCGGTGTATGGCGGCGACACGGTGTGGATTCGAAAGCATCATTGGGATATTTTTATTCGTACTCGCGTCGATGGTAGCTTAGCAGTTAGTAATTAAGGTAAACCTCGCAACGAACGAGAGATGTGGTTTGTTTCACGCAGCATTTTCCGTTATTAAATATTAATGTTTTTAGTTATTTTATAATTATTAAATTCTTATTTTTAAAATGAAGCCTGGCTGCAAATCATTAGTTTGGGATATTATTTTAAAAAAAGTAATAAATAAGTAAAAAGTTTAAATTATTTGGCAATACAACAAATCTTAAAAAACAGTCAATTTTGGCCTCTAAAGCACATCCGCCTAGTGTCTAGTCCATCTATCTGCCTGCCCTGAGGGATACTCGAAATCTCGTCATGAATTCTCAAGTATTCGAATGCCGGCATAAAAGTTCTCGAGAACAGCGAGAACTTTTAAGAATCGAATGGATATCGATTCTTGCATTCGAATTCTCCCATCACTAATATGAGATACCAAAATAATTTTGTTATCATTCCCAGCACGTATTTTTAGCACGCACTAGCACAAAGCAGCACAATGTAATTTACAACAAATTTATTTCAGATACCTCATCGTTTATTTCAAAGAATATTTACACTAAATGAAATTTTACCACTCTATGCGATAATTTTTAAGATGCAAGCGCACCAAGCGGTGAAAGGTCGGGAAACCACTTTTTTATGTATGTCTCAAAAATTTCCCCTCTGTGTGTGTGTAGCCTCAATTGCCGCCATAATGCCGTGCCAGACAAACCTACATCGCCCAACCGAGCATGAAAGCGCCAAAAATTTCACACCCTTCCTAAAAAATTAAAACGAGCTTAACGCTGTCATTGTTCATAAAGCACACAAGTCACATGTGGATATCTCTGGTCACATGCTACTCATCATAATTCCTTATCCACTCTACACTCTACGGTGAAGATAGGGATACAGCTCCTAAAGGTGACATACACATCTCCTAAAATCCTCCAATGATACAAATTCAAATTAAAGCTTCCGTATAATCTCAAGCTTTTTTATATGTTTTGTGTTTAAAATTTTTAAACCTTCAATTCGAGCTCCTAAAGCTTCCACACAGGCTCTCTCAGTCTCTAAGGAAGCCAAACAGTCACAAACTTTAGTGCCCTAGCACAGTACCGAGTTTGTGTAAAGATAAAAAATTTTCTTTTGAATTCAAAACAATTTTTTTCTTCAAAATTTTTAAGCACATAAAATTCTGATACAAGGGGTTTATTACTATTAAAAAATCAGTGACATAAGGTAGAAATCATAGATATCTATGACAAGTCAGTGATTATATTATTTGTAAACAATTTGTAATATTTTAAAACTCGCACGTTTTATATGACCAGTTATTTGAAAACATGAGATCATCTTCCGAAAATTTAGTAAGACAGAAAAATCCCAGAGCAGGTGCAAACTTCCTATCAGTTATTACATTTTGGTAAGTAAAATAGATATCGTTAACTTCAATAAGTTTTCCAATGACCATCTTTTATCAGGTATACAATAAAAACATTTTATAAAGGTAGAAAAAAAGATCTAGAAGATGAAGATTTGCCAGAATGCCTTGATGAACATAGTTCCGAATCACTAGGTGCAAAAATTGCAATTAATTGGTCAAAGGAATATGATAAAGCCTTAAAGGAAAAGAGAACACCAAGTCTGACAAAAGTTATCTTTAAAACATTCCGTTGTGATTTTCTGAAATATGGGGTAGTAGTTGTGATTATGGAAATGTGTGTAAGGTATAAGAATTAAATAAAATATAGGCAGGATATTGTGTAAAACATCCTTTTCAGAATGGTTCAACCTCTTTTTATTGCACTTTTCATTAGATATTTTAATGCTGAAAACAGGAACAGTAACCAACCGTAAGATACATTTTTTTATATCATTCATTTAATTTTAACAGTTCTATTACAGTGTACAACCACCTATGTATTTTAATCGTTTGCTTACATTTGGGTCACCACAAGGTCCAATACAAAGAACAGAAGCATACTTTTTTGCTGCTGGGATCATTATCTGTAGTTGTATAATCGTAATGATAACCCACCCATTTTTGATGGCTAGCTTACATTTCGGGATGAAAATACGTGTTGCTACTTGTGCTCTTATGTACAGAAAGGTAGATTATATCATTTATTAATGAAATATATTTAATAAATAATATCTTAGGTATCTACATTAAATGTTAATATTAAACGTTTTACAGGCACTAAGAATTAAATTAACTTGTCTAGATGGACAACTCGTAGGAAATGCAATAAATTTGATGTCAAATGATGTGAATCGTTTTGACAATGCAGTATTATTTTTTCATTATTTGTGGATTGCTCCAATTCAAACATGTTTTGTTGCATATTGTATGTACCATGAGGTGTCAATGTCTGCAGTGTTTGGCTTAATTGCCATTGTGGTTTTCATCCCTCTTCAAGGTATATAGTAGTATTCAAGATATAGTATTTTTTGAATAATCCTACAAATAGAACATGCCGTTTTAGTAATCCTTGGATTACGTACCTCCACTCTTCGTACAAAAGCTGCTAGAAGAACTGATGATAGGGTTAGAGAGATGCATGAAATAATCCAATCGATGCAAGTTATTAAGATGTATGCTTGGGAAAAAACTTTTGCGAATCTCATAAGTAAATTAAGAAAGTAAGAAATTGACCAAATGTAAAATAATTACACTTCACAAAATAAAAAAAAACTTTGTTTATTATTCTTTCGGATCATATTAGTACATATAAACAATACGATTTTTCTTTGTTTATAGAAGCGAGTTGAATTTAATACTCCAGAGCTCTTACATAAAGGGCCTAATAATGTCTTTCATAATGTTTACTTCAAGATCTGGTATATTTTTGACTGTACTTTCTTACGTGTTGCTGGGTAATGAAATAACAGCAGAAAAAGTATTTATCATAACTTCTTATTATATGATTATAAGACAGACTATGACTGTGTACTTTTCACAGGGTGTCGTTTTGGTAAGTGCTACAATATGGTTTAATTCACCATAACTATTCTGTTTAGCTTACTTCTAATGCAATATATTACTTATTCCAATTAATTCATTCTTTTCCCAGTCTTTATTTTTTTTTAATTTCATAACTATTTTACTCACCATTTCCCTGAACCATCTTTAGTTGGCAGAAGCGACCGTTTCTATAAAAAGAATTTTACGGTTCCTGTTGATAGAAGAGGCTGGCATTGGCGACCCCAGTCTTTTAGATCCTTATTGGCTTAACAAACCAGCTGGTGAACAGACTTTTCAACCAAGACCAATCTTGCCGTTATATGAAACTCCCAGAGTTACAATAGTACACGGCATAGTTAAGTACGGTCAAAATGTGTGCTTGGAAGACATTAATATGGAAGCCTGGCCTTGGAAGATAACTGCTATTGTTGGTCCCGTTGGAGCTGGGAAAAGTTGCCTCATTAAACTGATTCTTGGGGAGTTAACCTTGTTTAGTGGCAAACTTACAGTCATGGGTTCCGTGTCCTATGCATGCCAAGATCCATGGCTATTCGTAGGTATGTAACAAATTATTCTTCACTTTTACAAATTGTTGTTATCTTTTGCAATTCATTAAATAATAGGTTCCGTACGTCAAAACATCCTCTTTGGACACGAAATGGAAATCACCCGATATCGTGAAGTGATAAAGGCATGTGCTTTGAGTAGAGACTTTTCACTACTCCCTTATGGTGACAGAACTATTGTTGGTGAGAGAGGCATTTCCCTCAGTGGCGGGCAGAGAGCAAGAATTAATTTAGCTCGTGCCATTTATAAAAAAGCCGACATTTATCTGTTAGACGATCCGCTGTCTGCAGTGGATATTCATGTCGGTCAACAGCTGTTTGAGGAATGTATATCAAAGTTCCTTCACAGTAAAATAGTTATACTCGTCACTCATCAGCTGCAATACTTACGGAGAGCAGATCAAATAATTGTTTTGCATGAGGGACTAATTCAAGGCAAAGGTGCCTATGATAGTTTAAAAAGTAGCGGATTGAATTTTGTCTCATTGTTAGAAGACCAGACAGAAACCCAGCCAGAGGAGGAGAAAGACGTCGAGAAGATTTTAAGACATGTTTCTTGTACCAGTGCTGCTCTCAGCACTACTATCGACATAGAGGGACAAATGGTAATCATAATACAGGGTACTGCAAGTGAATGGGCCATACTTCAAGGGTAGCTTCTTTGTAAGGAGCGTTCAAATAAAAACGTGGTCGAAGTTGGCTCTGACACATTGGACGTAGGGAGTAGCTTATAGCGACCAACTTAACCTCATTTCTCAACGAGCTGTATAGCAGCTGTCAGTTTCAATAACGTTAATGACTATATAACTTTATTTTAAAGAATAATCGTGATAACAATAATAAACAATTAAAGCAGCTGCTGAAAGTGTCCCCCTCCTTGTTCCAAGCACTTTTCACACCTGTTCCTCAAAGAATTAAAGACATTTTCTAAGATGCTCGGGGTATTGTTAATTTCACGAATCTTGTCTATAAGTCGAGCCTGCAGATGGTTTAAATCAGGAATAGGCAGTTCAAAAATAGTGTTTTTAAGGTAAGGCCACAAAAAGAAATCACACGGCGTAATATCACATGACCTCGGTGGAAATTCATGTTCAGCATTGAGACTTATTAGTCGATTTTGGAAAACTTCCCTCAACATATTCATGGTCTCGCCTGCCGTATGTGCCCTTGCGCCATCTTGTTGAAAGTAAAAGTTTGTAATTTCGTTTTCTTCCAGCTGGTTAACAAAAGGAGCGATAATTTCTTCTCTATACCTTTGCGCAGTAAGAGTACCATTAAAAAAAATAGGTCCATAAATCCTCCTTCGATTGAGAGCACACCAAACTCCATTTTTTTAAGCGTGTAGAGGGCCCTCGACAAAAAAGTTATCTGGTTTTTCAGAAGACCACATTCTCATATTCTGTGAGTTTACATAACCACTTAAATGAAACCAGGCTTCATCAGAAAAAAAGGTGATATTATGAAGTTCACCGTAGTTGTTTAAAAACCATTCACAAAATACAGCCCGTCGGGGAAAATCAACTTCATGAAGTTCTTGCTGACAAGTTAAACGATAGGAGAACAAACGCAAATCTTTTTTTAACACTGTGTGGCAGGTACCGACTGATACTCCCACCATTTGTGATAAAACACGTACAGAAGTTCTTGGCGCATTTTCCATTATTTGTTGGACATTTTCTTTTAATTCTTCAGTCCGCTTTTTAGGTCGGCCGCTTCCTTCTTTTCTTGTTACACTGCCCGTTTCACGAAAAACATTAACACAACGCTGAACTGCACTTTGAAAAATTTTGTACTCAACAATGCCGGGAAATTGATTTTGAAATTCTATGAAACATTCCTCAATAGAATACTTCCATATTCCATCAATCTTGCGTCCATTTCTAAAATAGGACTCTATGATAAACACTTTTTGTTCTTGAGAAAACACCATTTTAAACGCTTTTTAAAACGAAAATATTCAAATTGATAGCGGCGATATAGCGCTTTGACAGATGACGTTTAAGTTCATTTGCTATACTTGACCACGTTTTTATTCGAACGCTTGTTATAAACTGATTTAGATGAAGTTACCATGTCTTTAAAATGTTACGGTGAATTAGATTTTTTTTAAATTTATTTTTATATAATAACTTCCAGTGTTTCAGTGAAATGTAGTACATTTTTCAACTCTTCCCTTTTGAAGAGTTTCAGTGAAATGTAGTATATTTTTCTGCTGTAGTCACTTATGGCAACCTGAGTATTTGAAGATATTTGCGACTAATTAAACTTCACCCTTTTAGCTTTTGTAAATGTATTAAACTTTTTTTTACATTCTACATCACCTATTAAAACTCAATATTGACAGATATACAGAGTGTATACCAAACAATTTTAATGTCAAAATATGATAATTGGTCCAAGTACAAGTTTGTCCAAAATTATTTCATTTGCAATTATTTAAATTTTTAAAGAACATCACAAATACGCTAATGTCTACGAAAGATCTTGGGTTGATAACTGAGTATTTTTGGAATGAAATAAGTTCATTTGATTCACAGATTATTCTTTTTTTAGATAAAAATAAACTTCACGCACTTGCATAAATCGAAAATAATTCTAAAACTGTTTTATAAAGAAAAATAAATGTTTAAAGACATTTTGCTATTTGAAGTGACTTAAAAATTTGTCTCGTTATTCTCCTCCAGAAAATTCAAAATGTCTATTCCCATATTTTGTTGGGTTCTCGTTATTTTAATTGTATTTAAAAATTTATTTACAATGCAAAATTCCTATAAATTCCCTTGATTCTTCCTTAACTTTTTCAAATAGCAGGAAAGTACTAAGGTAAATTTATCTAAAATCTGTTATTTTCGTACAAGGAAGCTAAAGTATGACCCATTTGTTTCTGGACACCCTATATACAACTTTTGATGTAATTGTCTTTTAATTTATAGTTTCACCCTAGAGTTCCACCTGAAATGAGAACTGTCGGTGTTGTAGACTTTGAGAATTACAAACAATTCTTTTTAGCTGGCACTAATTGCTGTGGTATTTTATTTTTAATCTTATTTTTCCTTGCTGCACAAGTATTTGCAAGTGGCGGTGACTTTTTTTTATCAAAATGGTAAGCACATAACTCAAATATAATTTCAAAATGTTAAATGTTGCGTTTAACCGGTGATTCTTTGTATTTTTAAGCTTAAAAGGTTATATGTATAAAGATGCCTGCAAATCGAGTTTTTGAGATACACATTTTCAATAATATTTCTGAAGACGTTTGAATGATGAAATCTGGGCAAAATGTTTATCTAATTAAAGATAAACTGAAATCGGATATAAATATGTACATCAGTAGTGAAAATACTGAATACTCTTACTGAAAATCCAGATATTCGATTTACAGAATATTTTGAAAATGCGATTTCTGTAACTTCAAATAGTGTGTCCAAGAAAGTTTATTTGAAAAATGGATCTCGCAAAAAGTGATAATTGATAAGGTGATTTACAAAATAAAATGTGCTTTGTAGTAAAGACATTCAGTCAACAAATGATCTTTATCTTTAAGCTTTTACTTTATTTTTTAATATAAGGAAATAAAATTATCATTTATACAAAACGTTAGAAAACATTATTTACACAAGCACAGTTAAAAATCATTTAGAATTTCTATATCCATATTTATATGACCTTTTAAGCTTAAATTTGCTCAAAGAATCACCTTCTAAAATTATATGTACTAAATTAGCACCCTGTATATAAAATAATGATTTTTTATTTTTTTTATAGGATTATTTTAGAGGAGTTAAGGTTTCATTATGGCACAGCAGCATCTATGGGATTCTATAACCAACTGACCACCCATGACTGTATTATGATTTATACGATAATTATCATAGCTACAATGCTAGTAGCTCTCATTCGATCAGTTCTGTTCTTTAGGATGTGCATAAAATCTTCTATGGGGTGATTTTTCCACCATCTTTTCATAATTACTTTAAAAAAATTAGTTCACTTTTCTAATTAACAAATTTTAGGTTACACAATCGCATGTTTGTTAGTATCATACACGCCTCTATGGCTTTCTTCAACCTAAACTCATCTGGACGTATACTTAATAGATTTTCTAGAGATTTGGGCGATGTTGATGAGTTGTTACCTAGTGCATTAATAGATACAGTGCAGGTAGTATAAACCGCTTTTTTATGTGAGATTTATTTATAAACCATATATTTTTGCAGTTGTTGTTAAATTTAGTCGGTGTCGTAGTGATTCTGGCTATCATAGAACCTTATTTCCTGATAATAGATTTTGTTGTTGTATTTATATTGTACTTCCTGCGTAATATATTCATCAGAACTAGTCGAAGTGTCAAAAGATTAGACGGGATATGTATTACTTTCGATATTATAAAAGTTTTTCAGTATAAATAATTGTCTGTTTTAGGTAGAAGTCCAGTATTTAGTCATCTCAATGCCACATTAGCAGGTCTTCCCACAATTAGGTCCAATGATGCTGAAAAAGAACTTGTCAAAGAATTTGATAAGTTGCTAAATATACAAAGTAGCGCCTGGTTTATGTTCCTGTATACCTCGAGAGCTTTTGCTCTCTGGGTGGATTTAGTTTGCACCTTGTACATTGCGTTAGTGACCCTTGCCATACTATTTACAGATGGTAATTGAATTTCAATTTCGGTTATTTCTTACTAAAATTGTAATTTTTTTGAGATCGACATAAAAAAACAAATTTCAGCTTATGATGGAAGCACTGTAGGCCTGGCCATAACTCAGTGCATGGGACTCAGTGGTTTGGTTCAGTGGGGCATGAGGCAATCCGCTGAACTAGAAAATCTGATGACAGCCGTTGAGAGGATACTGGAATTTACCAGAGTTGAACATGAACCTGACTTAGAATCCGTAATAACATTAAAATTAGTAAAAATGCAATTAATTTGTTGTATTTGTGCAAATCCTTTATAGAAACCAGATAAAAAACCACCTACAACGTGGCCAAGAAATGGGAAGATCGAATTCATTGAAACTACCATGAGATATAATCCTTTGGAACCACCAGTTTTAAAGAGTTTAAACCTCCTCATTAAACCAAAAGAAAAAGTGGTCACTCTTATGGTTGTAAATCGTAACTTTCTACGTGTATTTTTTTTTTAGATTGGTATTGTTGGGCGAACTGGGGCAGGCAAATCATCGCTGATAGCAACACTGTTTAGACTGTCACCGTATGAAGGTCAAATTTTAATTGATAACTTAGATATCAGCGTACTTGGCTTGCACGATTTGAGAAGGAAGATTTCCATAATACCGCAGGTAATTTGTTATTCTATGCTTAAATAATCTCTTACTCTTCTTCTCTTTGTAGTAAAGGCATGTTCCGTAAGCTTTTATTTTATTTTTTAATTTAAAGAAATAAAATACCTTAAAAATATTATTTACATAAGTGCAGTAAAAAATCGCTTTTCAGAGATTATAGTATGTGTTTCCCACAATACTAATATGAAATAATTTCTTGAGTTATAATTTTGTACATATTTCAATTTTTATTTGATACGAACAAAACATTTTTCAAACTTCATAATCTTGTAACTCCTGTTTGTACCTGTAAGTTGATTATTTTATTCCTTATTTATCTTTTATTAAACCACCCTGTATATTTAGCTTATTTTTATTTGACTGTTGCAGTAAGAGATTTGCAGTCTGCCTTTCTTCCTTTTTTTTTTTTTTTTTTTTTTTTTTTTCCATTTACACAGGAGCCCGTATTGTTTTCTGGAACTCTCAGGTATAACCTTGATCCGTTTGATGAATATAATGACGAAGCTATTCTGTCCGCCTTACTTGACGTTGAGTTAAGAAATGCAATGCTTCACGGACGTGGTAAAACAAAATTAAAACGCTAAGAGACACCTCTCAATACATGTTTCTGTTTTTAATAGAATGCCTAAATCACATAATGGTCGAAGGTGGTGCCAACTTTAGTGTAGGACAGCGACAAATGGTGTGCTTAGCTAGGGCTATATTAAGAAACAATATTATTCTTGTTATGGACGAGGCAACTGCAAACGTTGATGCAGCAACAGATAAATTTATTCAGGCTACTATAAGGACAAAATTCGCAAATTGCACAGTGCTTACTATCGCTCATCGATTGCATACTGTTATGGATTCAGACAGAGTAAATATATGTTTTAAAATTTGATGTGGTTAAAAAAAAAGTTTAAACTCTGGATGGATAGCGAGTGTCCTGCCGAGACGACCGTACCATTCAGAAAGCGTGGATATGTCTCAATATTTGGGAGCTTTCGATGAGTTCATCTTCTGAACTTGTAGCAGGTTACCGAATAATCTAGTAGACTAAAGCCGATTGCGAACACAGCCACGTGTGGTCGCCATTGGTGGCTGCTACACTCTGCGGACTACATTTTGTAAACCTTCCTTTTCTCTCGACGAGAATGAAACACCTCGATATGTAATATACTATTAGTAATAGTCTATTACTTTGCATGGTTAATGTACTTTTTGAGTGAGGGGCTTAAGGAGTTACACCACTGTAAAATTTTCAGGAAGGTAGTTTGAACCTTCTAGAATATGAGGCAAAAGGTATTATGAAATTTTTTTTTACTTCCTTACCTATTGATTTATAAGTTCTCTAATACACTCATAGATGTCATTAGGGAGTATGCATGTACAATTCAAGCAAAATTTTCAAACAAAAGTACGTTATTGTAGCGTCAGTGTACGTTCATGTCTAAAACTCATTTTAAAACTTTAAACGCTTTTTTCTTGAAACACGCTTTTCCAAAACGGCACGCACCATAACTCCAACAATTTTCAATCTTCCTTTTAAAATTTTAACCACATATTTAAAGCAACATTTTGAAGAGAATCACGTACAGATTTTTCAATAAGTTAATTTAAACAATTGTTATAATATAAACAAATAACTGCCCTTTTTTTCATCAAAAATTTAACGGTTTACTTCAAATATTTCCCAATTTTATGAAAAACAATATTTTTACAATCCTGTACGTGTTTCACCTTGAAATTTGCACTAGTTCTACTGCGTGCCGCAGAATAGCTCGACGGCAACATGCTACAGAAGAATGGCTCGTGTCGATATTTTTTAAAGAAAAAATATTTTCTGTACACTTAATACATGCCTAATAACATACTCAAACAGTTTTTTTCTATTACCTTCTATTAAAAAAAAAATTGTCAAAAACACACTTTTTTAGGCCGTTACAGAGGTGTAACACCTTAAATTCTTTGTAAGTCTTTAAAACTTAAGAGACCCCCACCACGCGAATTGTTATTTCACAAATTTTTAGCTGTGTCCGTCACTTCAAAAGCTGCCAATTTGCAATAAATTTAATAAGGCCTCATTTCTCTATAATCTCTGATTATCGAGTTATAAGCCACCAAAGTTTTTTAAACTTATAAAATTTTTCATCAACCGAAATCACACAAATTGGTATCGGTTTACGATGGACATATTTTAAACATTCACTGTTTTCTCCATTAAAAGAATTTTAAAATTTATTATTTCTCGATTATCCCTATTTTCAATTAGTTTATTTACCATTAACAGAACCGAATTTTACTCAAAAATGAACGTTCTCTTTCATGTTTTCACTCAACACCTTTGATTGCATGTTTTCATTATATCCCAATTTCTGGGACGAGATCCATCTGCGCAATTGATCTTGTAGACATATCCACGTGAAATGTGTGCCCTTTTCAAAATTTTGTGAAGTTACGGCCTATTATCAACTAAAAAAATGTACTACCAGGTGCTGGTTATGAGTGCTGGTATAGCTGTGGAATTTGATCATCCACACTTACTTCTGCAAAAGAGGAACGGTTATCTATACGAGATGGTAAATAGAACTGGACCGGGCATAGCAGAAGCACTGATAAGAGTGGCCAAAGAGGTATGTCCAAAGTAAACGGTTACTTATTATACAGTTTATGTTATTTTTAGAGTTATCAAACGAGACAAACAAATCTATCGACTTCATATGCAGAATGAAAAAAATAAAATATTTTGTGATCTGAGTAAAAAGTAAACTTTTATTTTCACTTTCACGTTTTTATTACAAAAGTAGCTCTTAATATAAAATAGTCTTAAAAAAAATTATTTAACAATTACACAAAAAATACATGACATTTAAATTAACAGCAATGTACTTATAAATATGAACGGGTTGACAAACTTGTTTGTACACGAATTTTTTAACGTGACCAGCAGTAATATTTGCCACTGCCCAATTAAATTAAGTAATTAAACACATAAATCAATAATTAAATATTACAAGACGCATAAGGTTAAAAACAAGAAGAAAATACCAAAGTACAGTGGATAGAGTAACACATTTTTCCTGAGAAAGAAATTAATACAAAATTAAGCATTTAATAAGGAATTCTCAGACTGTTTTTCTCCATCATAATGTAAACATACATAAGATAGACTATATTAAAAATATTTACAATTACTGCCGAAAATAAGCCTCGAAAGATATTGCTTTGGATTGTACTAAAAAATGTATCTGCAGTAAAAAAAAAAAGAATAAAAGATTGTGCCTGCTTTAAAACCATATTACATTAATCCTGTTTAATCTTCGCTAGCAACTGATCGCAAGTCTTCTTTGCGTCACCTAACAACATCGATGTGTTGGATTTATAAAATATGGGATTATCGACTGCTGCATAGCCAACGCCAAGCGATCGTTTCATCACGATCACTTGCTCTGATTTCCAAACGTTTAACACAGGCATGCCGGCAATCGGCGAATTGGGATCTTCCAGTGCGGCACTGTTTACAGTGTCATTGGCACCTATCACCAAAACTAGATCCGTTTCAGGGAAATCTTCGTTGATCTCGTCCATTTCCAACACATCATCATAAGGCACACCTGCTTCAGCTAGTAAAACATTCAATTGACCAGGCATTCTCCCTAAAATTACGTGGCGATATAACAAACGATGGAAATTATATTTATACCAAAGCTATATAAAAAGAATTTTAATTGTTGCTTTACCTGCAACTGGATGAATAGCGAATCGAACTTTCTTCCCTCTGCTCTTTAATGCTTCGACCATCTCAGCGATAGGATATTGCGCTTTAGCTACACATAATCCATATCCAGGCACTATAATGATATCGTTTGCATTCTTTATGGCTTCTACAGCACCGTCTATATTGATTTCAGTATGCGTTCCTGTGATTTCCATAGGCTTGCCGGTACCTGTACTAGAAGTGCCATAACCGCCCAATATTACATTAGGGAGCGATCTATTCATAGCCTAGAAATTTTTATAAGGAAAAAATAAAAACATTTAGTATTTGAGCAACATACCTTGCACATAATGTACGAGAGAATAGCTCCCGAAGATCCTATAAGTGCACCTACTATAGTCATCAAATTATTATTTAGCATGAATCCTTCCGCACATAAAGCCCAGCCTGAGTAACTGTTGAGCACCGTGATGACTACCGGCATGTCAGCACCTAAAAATTCGTTAATTTAGTCCCATAAAGATTGAGATATTATACAAGAGTTCCAAAATAGTTGGCAGCAAGTTATAAATAAATCAAACTACGACTTTTAAAGGTTCCTAATCTGATAAAATAATGGGATGTTGAATAAGTTCTTGCTGTTTTTTTTGTAAAAATTAATGCTTTATTTAAGAAAATTTGTAAGTAAAAAATATGTCAACTTTTTCCCATCTTTTTGGCAGCATTTTAATTGCACGTTGGAAAAACGATACGTCTTCTGAAGCTATTTAAGAGTCGCCCTATTTTTTGGTGTCTTCCTAAGAATGGAAGTGCTACTCAGCCAGGCTATGCGCCATCGATCGAAACAAGTGATAATCGGAAAGGACTTTGCATTTAAGCGTTTCCAAGTAGGTTTTCACCGGTATTGCAACATGTGGCCAAGTGTTGGTAGTGTATCCATTTTTCATTGCCAGTTACGTTACGATTCAAAAAACCTTTCCTTTTCTGCTGTTGAAGCAGCTGTTCACATGTGCAGAGATGCCGTTTGATGTTTCTCAGCTTCAAGCACCTAATGTCCTTGCTTTTGAATCATTCTTAATGCTTTCAAACGTTCCAAAACTGCCGTGACCGACTTTTAATGATTCTGCAAGTTCAGATAGGGTCTGACATGAATCTTCAGAAGTAATGCCTTAAATTCTTCATCATCAAACTATTTTGGTGTGCTTCATCTTCTACGTCAAAATCATTATTTTTTAAGAATCTAAACCATGCTGTTTGCGACAAAGCATGGTCGCCGTAAGTCTGAATAAGACTTCCGTCTACAGTTGAAGCACACATAACACTACTTTTAGTGCAGTAAACATCCCCGGAAAAGGTGTTTTTTCGCCACTAAATTCGACATATCACTATGAAAAAAAAGGTGTGCCACACGTTTGCAGTTCTTGTAATGCCATCTGTTGGAAAACAGGGAGAACTTATAGTATAAGAAAGTATAAAAAAGCCAACACGTGGCAGGAAAATATTGAAATTAACAATCACGTTAAATATACGATCCGTAGAAAGATTCATGAATTTGACTTTAAAAATGGACTAATTTGCGAATCAAAAGAGTGAAAAGAGAGGCTTTTTTACTTAAATATTGCAGCAAATTTCATGTATCTCCTTTTGAAAAATACTTAGTAAATGAAAATCCAAGTGATTTCCCCAGCAGTCGTGAACAATTTTTTTTTAAACAATAAAAACTGCAAAAAATATGATTTTTGTGGTCTTTTTATAATATCTCGAAAAATAATGATGGAATCGTCTTACTCTCAATGGGACTTTTGTAGAGAATAAAAAAACCTGTAAAATGGTTTTTTATGTGACCCGATCCGTTCATTTTTTACAGAGAAAATCCGGAAAAACCTCTAAAATAGACCTTTTTTCAAAAATTCATAACTCCGTCAAATTTGAAGCTGGAAAAACAATCTTGCGGAAAATGACACATAATAATATGTAGTTTAATCATGCGCAAGATGGTTTCTGTCCGATGCACAGTTTTTGCACAATTGCATTATAAACAAATTAGGGTCTTTTTTTGAACAGCATGATGATTTATCAAAAATGGTTCGATTTAATTTCTGAAAAGGCATCTGAAAGTAGACAACAAAATCTTCAATTTGTATATCTCGGATTTTTGCCCGGGTGATGGGAAATATGTTAAAAATGCCCGTGAAAGTCGCCCGAAACGATCTAAAGTACGCTCCAGCCAGAGTCCTCCGCTCGCTGCTTCCCCCACTACTGCTACCCAACTCTTATGAGATTGCATAGATTTACACGTCGAGAATAAGTCTGTCTACAATTTTGGAACTTACCTCCGATTGCAGCTGTTAAAGTGACACCCATTGTAGCAGATAGCGCGGCTGTAGCTCCCAGTGCTCCAAGACCACCGACGAGTGTAGGCTCATAAAACAGATATCCGCCAGCAGCTATATTTGACAAGAATAGTCCTGTGTTAATTGCATGACGTCCTGGTAGAAGTAAGGGGTTGGATTTTAAGATTCCTTGTAGTTTGCCATAGGCAACGAGAGATCCACTGGGGAAGTAAATATTTAATACAACTATTAGCCATTATTTAGAAATATACAGGGTGTCCCACTACGAACATCATTGATGGATATCTGGGAAACCGCTCGAAGGATTTTTTTGAAATTATTATGGTGTGATACGGACTGTGGGGCCTATCAAGCTAAAATATTTTCAAGGTCATCGTACTTCCAGTTATACCGAAAGTCGATACTAACTTTCTTATTTTAAATGGAACCCCCTGTATATTATTGCATTTTTGGAAAGAGCATCCATTTTTAAGTTGAAAACATATAGCACACTCCATACTTAGGATTAACCATTTCCGAGATATTTTGATTTTTAAGCAAAAATTGACAGACTGCAAAATTTAGTTTTCCCGGAAACATAGGTTTATTCTTTTGTGCAAATTGGACATTTTGCAGAGGAAGACCTGATTTATCGAATTTGACATGAAAATTTTCCAGTTTTTATACAGGGTGGCCAAAAAAAATTATCGTATATGACGTTCAGAAAATGTGGAAAACTCAAAATTTTAAAATGGAAACCCCTAATTTCTTTAATGTATTCGCATTCTGTAATAAAATTAAGTGTAATTTTGTTAAAGTTTCCCTATACCTAAACCCAGTGGTTTTCATTTTATTTACGAATAAACATTTTCCTTTTTTTTAAATGTTTCCATTTGTTTCGCACATTTTAGGTTGGCCCTGGCAGGTAAGTAACAATCAACATGACAACTGTCATAGGTTTTTAATTGTCAAATTTATTTTAATAAATGTTCAAAGTGTCTTCCTTCAACTTCTCAACTTCTAAACATTTTTCACATCTTCGGATTAGTTCCTTGTGGGTCCCTGCTCTAATAGAATTCGATGGTAGATGCTCAAACGCTTGCCTTACTTTATGCATACATTTTTCCTTTGTTGTTACTGGAGTATTACACACACTATTTTTTAGTGTTCCAAATAAAATAGCATATATCACCGGATTCTATTAGAGCATCGACCCACAAGGAACTAAATAAATTTGACAATTAAAAACCTGTGACAGTTGTCATGTTACTTACCTATCACGGCCAACCTAAAATGTGCGAAACAAATGGAAACATCATTTTAGGAAAAGGAAAACGTTTATTTGTAAATAAAATGAAAACCACTAGGCTTAGGTATAGGGAAATTAAGTGTTACTTTGTTAAAGTTACACTTAATTTTAGTGCAGAATGCGAATACGTTAAAAAAATTAGGGGTTTCCATTTAAAAATTTCGAGTTTTCCACATTTTCTGAACTTCATATTCGATAATTTTTTTTTGACCACCCTGTATAAAAACTGGAACATTTTCATATCAAATTCGATAAATTAGGTCTTCTACAAAATGTCCAATTTGCACCAAAGAATAAACCTATGTTTCCGGGAAAACTAAATTTTGCAGACAGTGCATCTGTTAATTTTTGCTTAAAAATCAAAATATATCGGAAACGGTCAATCCTATACTCGGCGGCCGAATTATAAAGAGTGACTAATACATAATATAAAAACACTATTACCATAATGCGTATAAAATATAAAATGATTTCTATACGGTTCAATATTATTTATCTTTGTGCCGCTCGCCATGCACATCGGTAGAATCTATAATCGTGTATAGACTGAGTTACACTGAACGTCGATCTATATTTTATCTCCGTCTTTTGCACTTGGTAGGGAATAGAGAAATGCTTTTTTAGTGGGTGTAAAAGGACTTGATTTGCCCGACCTGAGAAACGTCAGCATAAGCGTAGACGAGGGGTCTAATTCCATGGCTATAATAAATTTATAAATTAAAAAAACACAACTGGGACGTTTTAAAATGCTGTAATAATTAAAATTGATCAAAGTGCCGGTTATAGCAAACCGTAAAAAATATTAGATGTTATGTTTTATTATGTTTTTTCAATATTTTCTATATCTTGTTGCCTTTTACGCAGACACGCCAATGGATTTTCGTTCCCGGCACGCTTCATCCCCCTTACTTGTCCAAGAGCTAGCGATGAATCACTATCTATAATTTTGGCCGTCGAGTATAAGTATGGAGTGTGCTATATGTTTTCAACTTAAAATTGGATGCTCTTTCCAAAAATGCAACAATATACAGGGGGTTCCATTTAAAATAAGAAAGTTAGTATCGACCTCCTGTATAACCGGTAGGCCCCACGGTCCGTATCACACCATCACAATTTCAAAAAAATCCTTCGAGCGGTTTCCCAGATATCCATTGATGGAGTTCGTGGTGGGACACCCTGTATATGTGCCATGTTAGTCAACATATCTTTTAAAAATACATCACTTACCTGAATGTTACACCTCCAATGTATGTTCCTAAAAATAAAGCGGTCTTAATAACATTTGCTGCAGGATCTGTTGCGAATGATGAGAAATCATGCATATATGTCGATATGCATGTCAAAACTGCAGCTAATCCTACCAGACTGAAAAATAAGAAGTACAATAAATTAATGATATTTTATTCTGTTGTCTCAAATTTAAAAAAAATATATGTAGTACCTGTGAAAACCAGCAACAAGTTGTGGCAAGTCGGTAATTTCAATTTTCTTGGCTATAATTGTGCCTAGACCTCCACCTGCTATAAGGCAAGCAGCCATTTGAGCTAGTACTTCGTTAGATGGCGCTATTTGGCCTAAGGTTGCTGCAATGCCTCCAGCAACCCCAATCTAAAAAGAAAATCAGCTCTAATATTGACAGGCCTTACACTACAAACTAAAATATATTACCATTCCTAAATTATTTCCTAATCTTGAGGTTGTTTGGGAACTTAAACCAGCTAGAGCTCCGACACAACACAGAGAAGCTGCTAAATAAGCTGCCTGGTGGATTTCAGCAAGACCGTTCATAGTTGCCCAACCATATGCTCCCATAAATGCAGCTGCTGGGATAGCATATAAAGAGTTGTAGTCTGGTGGGTCTCCTGGTCTATAAATATTGTAAAAGTAATAAAATTTTAAAATTTTTAATTTACACGTATTTAATAATCGTTACCTTTTGAACATATCCAACATTCGTTTTGTGACTAGAAATCCTCCGAAAACGTTGATAAACGAGACAAATGCAGCAGCTGCAGCCAAAGTCTGGTACAAACATTAAAATTTATAGTAAATAAACCCTTTGACAAAATTATCGTCTCACAAAAATGACTAACTTCAAAACTGTTTTCTTTTTTTTTTTAAACTGATTTAGACAATTCCTTTTTAATAATATAATATTCAAGAAAGAATAAGTTTTTTCTCTGAAGTATATGCCGATTTGGAAGCACAGTTACGACTTACCTCTATGGAATTTGTTGGATAATATCCACCATTCATTAGTAATAAGCCACCCACGGCTGTAATTCCTGAAATGGCATTAGTTACAGACATGAGTGGAGAATGCAACGCAGGGGTCACACCCCAAACGGTATGGTAACCTACAATTCCTGATAATCCCAAAACGGTTAGCATGGAGGTAAACTGTGGATTAGGAGAAACCATTCCAAGACCTAAGATGGTTCCCACACCTAAAAGTTAACACAATGATATCATTTTTCCAGGGCGTAGATGATATAATTTACCAGCAGTAGTCATTAAAGACGTATTTAGATTGGCCATAAAAGGAGTAACTTCCTTTTTCACTGGTTTGGCTGCTTCCAATTCGGTTTTTTGAGATGGCAGAGGAGGAGGGACCACTTTTGGTGGAGGTGGAGGCCACATTAGTTGCCCTTTGTGTAAAATAATGCTTCCTCGTACAACTTCGTCTTCTAAATTTATGTTAAAATGATCCTTTTCCCCTTAAAAAGTCCTCTATGTAAAGATTGAAACAAAAAATATAAATAATACTTACCTATTGATAAAAGAAATTTTGATATGTTATTACCGTACAGCGTGGAACTTTGCGTGGGAAGCATGCTCGGGAAATCTGTTAAACCAACATGAGTTACATCATTATAAGAGTATATTTTTCCTGGTTTAGTTGTTTCTATGTTTCCCCCAGCTTCGGCAGCCAAATCTACAACTACACTACCAGGTTTCATAGATTCAATGTGTTCCTAAAGGGAAATATTAATCATGAATTAAATAAATACAAATAAAATAGTCCTTTGCTAATGTAAACCATGCAGCAACCAGCAACAGACATAAAGTTAATACATTTTTTTCATAACTTACTTTTAAGATGAGCACTGGTGCTGTCTTTCCTGGGATAAGTGCAGTTGAAATGATGACGTCGACTTCTTTGCACTGTTTGGCAAATAAAGCGTGTTCAGCATCAATGAATTCTTTGGACATCTCCTTGCTGTATCCTGCAGATGTCCCACCCTCTTCCTAGATATTAAAAGAGCTTAGCATTCCGATCAAAACAACTCATATTTTAATTTGCTGCCTACCTCTATAGTAACGGTTAAGAATTCAGCACCTAATGATTCAACTTGTTCTTTGACCGCAGATCTTGTATCGAAGGCTCTGACGACTGCCCCCATGCATTTTGCCTGCGCTATAGCAGCCAAACCTGCTACTCCACCACCAATTACTAAAATTTTGGCAGGTGGAACTTTCCCAGCTGCTGTTATTTGGCCTAAAATTACATATTTATATGAATAATTTAATTTCATCAAAGGATTATGACCTTGCAATGGGCGCTAAGGTTTTCAGAATAATTACAAGTATTTTCCTTGTGCTATGTCTGTTGCATATTGTGGTGCTAACTATGTATCAACTTGAGTGATATGTATTTAACATCACAATTCTAAAAAAGAATTTTGTGGTTTCCTTTTGTTCTTACGCCAATATGCAAGATCAGCATCGTAGTGTATTAAAATAGAAACGACTTAATACCTGAAAAGAATCTTGGAAAATGATTTGCTGCCTCCACGACTGCTCGGTAACCTGCTATGTTTGCCATTGAACTTAAAGCGTCAAAAACCTGAGCCCTAGTTATGCGTGGAATGCAATCCATAGCTGCAAGAGTACAATGAAAAAATAAAATGCAATTATTTTACATTAGAAAGTGAAGTTACCGACCATCAAAGTTAATGTGCAGAGATTCAAAAACATATTAAATTAACCTGAAAATAAATACTACTATTGTCACACACTTTGAATTTAGTTTTACTTACCAAAAGCGTTTATTTTCCTTTCTGCTAGCTTGTCCACCAACTGCTTGTTTTGTGCTGGATACAGGAATGATAGAAGTGTAGAATTTTCCCTAAAATTAATTACTTCATTCTCTAAAGGTTGCCTTACTTTTAAAATTATATCTACAAAAAACAACAGGTTAATTACAAAAAAATCAGACATATGTAAATCTTGAAATTAAACTTACTTCTTTATGCCTTGTAAGTTTATATTTTTGAATTTGAGAAAGTAAAGAATTATATGTAGTCCAATAATAATGTAAAAATATTAAAAAGTTCTCGTTGCACTATTGTGAATTTACCTGATGAAAATGCATTTTCGGTATTAACCAATTTTGCACCGGCCTGTTCGTAATCGATGTTTCTAAATTTCGCTTCCCTACCAGCATTTTCTTCTACCTTTACAGTGAATCCCTTTTTGACCAATATTTCCGTTACAGTGGGAGTAACGGCAACTCTACAAATAAATTCCACAAAATTTCTATTGGTCTATAATAAAAACTTGATTAAATAATATAATACAAAAATATATTTGATAAAATCTGTACATTCAGTATTAAACTTTTAAAATATGTATATGTACCTCCTTTCATTTTTCCAAATTTCTTTAGGAACACCTATCGATAAATTTTTATAAGGGATTCCTTGCACCTCACTAGTTGCCTTGGCATCTTTTCGTAGATGATTAGATGTGGAAAAATTCTTGCTTTCTACTTTTTCTAATACTGTATATTTCCTAGGTCTCGATGTACTTGAATAGTGACGTGTTGTAAATGAGTATTTTATATCACAAATTTGCTTTCTTGTTAAATGTAGACTCAAAACTCCTCTTGCCATTTTTCTTGTATGATCATTAGCCCACTCTTTAATAAAAAAAATACTTATATTAGTTTTGCTTATGAGCAAACAAAAAAAATATTTATTTTAAATATGAAGGACCAATTTTAATTTTTCTAGTATACATTCTTTTGTCTGACAATATCAATGATACAATAAATGATCCAAATAAAAGACATGCCAAACCAAATTATTCATATTTTAAATTATTTTTTATTATACAGGGTTTTCTTCATTCCTTCTAACTTCATATTTCTATCTAATGTCTATTTTAACACACAAATATTGGATCCTAGTCTTCCTTCGGCGTTATTTCTTAGGGTTAAGTGTAAGAATAGAGATAAATTATCTGAATTGCGTTGTATATATCTGATTTTGCGTAGACATAAAGTCGTCTATTATTATTGTTTAATGTTAAAAAAAAATAATATTTCCAAACTTTTTGGAGAATTTCTGATGAAAAAAATGAGCTTCTGTAGAATTACTAAAAAGTCGCGCCCAGCATTAATATTTTGCATAGCGTCGTGCACAGCTAAATTTAAATTACATGCTGAACAATGAACAAAAACTGCTTTTGACTCCAATTCTAAAATTTTTTGCAAGCCGCTTAGATACGCACTAACAATCACTGCTCTATTGTAACACTGTCCCTCCATCGAACAATGTCCAGGACAGTTCTTTATGTCAACTGTAAAACACGACCTTAGAATATCCTGTACAGTTTCAAATAGTGCACAAGAGAAACTGTTGTAGCTGTTTCGTAGAAACTCATAAACAATTTCTCGAGTTCTAGATTATTATAAAATATCAATAAATCTGAAGCATATGCTTACTCATTCTTTAGTAGTCAGGACATTTCATCCAACATCATTGAAAAGTACCTTGATTTTTTGATTGCCTTTATATTAATTTGCTGAGTTTCATTAGCAAGTAAAGAAATTTGTTGTAAAAAATTCATATTCATCTGCTCTGGGAAGAAGTAATTGATGAATATTTCATGAATCATCAGTGCAGTCTCTAATAGCTGGCATAAGTATTGTATATGTATTCTTGACTTGGATATGACGACTCAGAGTGCTGTTGTACTTTTTCCAGCTGAGATAAAGTTGCCTTTGCAAAAGGGCTACTGCTACTGATTTCACACCTGGTATACCGACGCTATGGCAAACAGGTTGAAAACGATGCTGCTGCAAGATGATATTGTATCCCCCCTCAAGTATTAAGATAATGTTTGTAAGATCGGACCCCCAAGCCGGGTGTCTTGGCCGGTGTATTTCGATCTGCCGAGTTAAGCATCACGGACGCAGGCTGGAACTTGGATGGGTGACCTAAAGCAGGCTCGGGGTCGTGGCTGTGGCAGCCTACCAGAGGCCTGGGTCGTTCAACACCTTCCGCCTGCGTGTGCTCCCCGATAAAAATGGTAATGAGAATAGAGCTTTGCCACCAAGCCACCCGTGTAGTAATAGGATGGTTTGAAGAAAGTACTCGAGTACGGAAGGAGGTTGTACATGGGGCCTAATGAGGCCTAAGTGCCATGGTGGAGAGCAATCCCGCCACCCTCCGACTTACAGACAAGACAAGACAATGTTTGTAAGCTTGGTTCAACATTTTAGAGATTATGGGAGCTTAGTGTTGGACAGAAACAAACTCAGAGAATCAAAAATTTTCAACACCGTACAAGAGGATTCTGGTACCATTACTCGAACATTAACCACAAAATTTCAAGTATGTCATATGCCGTCAAAATCAGGTGAGGATTTACTTATTTTTGTTGATTTCATTTATTGATTACTGCTTGAATTTTAGATTATTATTTTTGTTAAGAAATTTGCTTTTTAATAATCTTTCCTTTAAATTATGATTGGACAACAATGCATAGCCCAGTTTCCGATTGTGCGTACGCTGCGACTAAATCACGCCCTTGTTTGAGGTCACACTAACTTGTCCAGCGGTGGTGTATGAAAAATTACGTAACAAAAATTTTTAAATAATTAATTTTTCACGATTTTGCGTGTTTCTAAAACTCAAAAAGTATGCTCTGTATAAATATGGCCCCCATTCAAATTTCCACCCTGTGTATGTAGAGTGTTTCATTTGAAGTTAGGTAATGCTCAGGAGAAATGGGGCATCTTGTATAATCGAAAATAATTTTAAAATGAGAGACATTTGGTGAAATTTTGAAACAATTTTTGTTATTGATATTACATGATACTATACCGCCGAATAATTATATTTTTGTACCCTTAATTGCTTTAAATATTCTATAAACAAGAACAGCCTCCATATTTATTGTAAAGTATGTAGTTATGATTATGATTTCTATTTTAATTATTAATTTCGTTCAGCTTTGGAAAAATAAAGTGTATTGAAAAACATGCATTCCTGCACGAATTTAAAATTTTCTAATCATAATCTGGTTTAAACAAAAATATAATATATCATAGATATCAGCAGGATAATATCATCGTAAATTGACATCAAAAGTGTGCCATCAATATACTACCTATAATCTCCAGAATTTATAATACCTATACGTGTTTCGACATAATATTTAATTCCGCTGTACGCAGAACGATTAACCAGACTTAGTGAATAGGTTTATATTAGCATGTATAATGATAAATAAATAAAAGTACAAAATGCAGATACTAAAATTATCTAATCTAATCTAGTGACATGGATTTGGTTCATCGTTAAATAATGCAAAGTTATTTTTTGGCAATCTCGTTGCTCCAGTTTTTAGTTATGTTACCGCCATTCATATATAAACAAGAAAAAATCCAGTTTCACGTGAATCTATTTTTAATCTCGAATAATCCAAAACAATTTGGAAAAAACAAAAAAATGGATAAACAACCAATAAACGTAAAATTCGTGCTGTCAACTTTTATCTGATACAAAATACAACCAAGTGAAGGGTTATATTTTTATAATCTATTTGTTATTGATACGTATTTCAAAAATTTAAACAATTTGAAAACATAAAATTGTAGTTAAAGACTTATGGCATTCTTGTGAAATATGTCAAAAGTTTGTTAACTAACCTTAACTAAAATAATGAAAGATTAAATCAAATCTTTCGACCCTCGAATTATTATTAGTACGATTATAAACATATTTATGCACTTCTAGTAATATATCTTTGGTATGTAAAATGCTTCTTGGGAATTAGCGATAATGGCATACCAGTTTTAACAAAATACCATATTTTTACATAATACATAAAATTTTGTATAACTATAATATATGTACATATTAACATTATACATTTTATTAATCATAAAAACATTGATAAAATTAAAACAATATAACATAATGCGAAATAAATTTTACATCGAATTCATAGGCGTATTCAAAATCATAATTTTTTCACAATAATTACACATAATATCTACTTATTTTTTATATTTATTTCAAAAATATATTTTTTAAATTATCGGTCGCCCAGCTCTGAAAAAGTTGATGATATTTTTTGTTAGATAACGATGGCTTGGGCCGTCTCCTACGCCACTGTGTAGAAGGTCTCTTTAATTATGAAGACATGGTAGTAAAGTCAAATACTGGGATTTGGTTTCTATTGTTTGAAATGTAATAATAATAGTACCTACCTACCGTCTAAATTGTCAAACAAACTGTATAAATATTCGCCTAGACTAGATAAAACGTAAAAAACAAGTAGGTTTCACAGTATTTTCTGTTTCATTAAATATTACCAAGTATTAAATTACATTGGATATCTAATCACTATGGCACTGTATTGAAAGAAAAAAATAACAATTTCTACTGGCCGTTGAAGGCAGAATAAATACCTTAATCTTTTTTTACTTTGTTTTTGATTTTCTAAAAACAGTGTTACATAACTACGTCACTGGAGGACCAAAATATATTATGATATATGTATTTTCTGTTTTATTTTTATTAGATCGAATTTAAAAATATATGTTCGGGATATTATTGGGAAAATAAACAGTCTACTATAATATTATAAAAATACACAAAAAAAGTATCTAATAATATACATTGGCAAAATATTTTCAAACGAAGGTTCATCCTACATCCTAGTATACACAGGGTGATTCATTAACAATGGGAAAATCGAAAGCTGAAGATACTACACGTGAAATGGTGACCATTGGCGCAAACATGCCTTATCCGAAAGTTGATAGTTTCGGAAATACAGGGTGTTGAAAGTTAAAATTTTAAATCGTTTTTTTGCGATTATTCTGAAAATATGTAGATTCTTTGTAAACTATATCTTTCATTCGAGACCAAATAGAAAAATCAAGATTGCAGTCCGGACTTCTGGATGGCCAAGCAAAAATGCTTACATGGCCAATCCAGCGATTTGGAAAAACTGCATCTAAATATGCACGCACTGGTCAAGAAAAATGCGGTGAAGCTCCGTCGTGCATGAATCACATGTCTCTTCTTAAATAAAGTGGAACTTCTTCAAGCCGTGGAAGCATTTTTACTTGGCCACCCAGAAGTCTGGACTTCAATCCTCTTCATTTTTCTGTTTGGAAGAATCTATTAGTTCGTGTGAAGAGTTGTGGCAAAGAATACAAATCGGTGCCAACGAAGTCAGACGCAATCCCAATATGTTGTTTCAAACTCGAAGATCTCTCAGAAAACTTATAAAGTGTACCAGTGTCAACGGTGGATTCTTCGAACAATTACTTTAAATCATAATTACGTATTTTATTTGTTTTATTGTTAATTGTTGTAATAACACGAAGAAACACTTGGTTTGTTTAGCTTTTAATTTCTCATATTATCAAAACATAGTGTTCGTTAAATCGATTTTTCTCGAAAACGGATCGAGATACCGAAATGAAACAAGAGTACATAATTAATGGAAAAATGATAGCTCTTTCAGGTTTTGAATCAAGTTTCATGTAAAATGTACAGGGTAAAATGTTATTAACTAAATTTTCGGTAAAATTGGTCGTAAGTGGCGTCCTCTATGAGCAATGCTGAAATTTTAACACGCATCCTAAAAAAATATAGTTTCACAAATTTTCAAGTTCCTAACCTACATATTTTCAGAATAGTAGCAAAAAAAAGATTTAAAATTTTAACTTTCAACACCCTGTATTTCCGAAACTATCAACTTTCGGAGAAGGCATGTTTGCGCCAATGGTCACCATTTCACGTGTAGTATCTTCAGCTTTCGACATTCCCATTGTTAATAAATCACCCTGTATATTGCCAGTATTTTAATTAAGTACAATTTTAGAATCATTTTCATTTTTTGATAAATAAATAAATAATGCACCTAAATAAGTTAAAGATTAAGGTGCCTCTTCTAAAACTGTAACAAAAGTTCAAACCGAATTCTGAATGGAATGTGGGAAAGATGAACATAGACAGTGGAGAGTATCAACTAGAGATAAATCGATATCAAACAGGAAACACGAGTTTCCTTATGCAAACTGAACTTATTTGCCTTGGATAAAAACGACTGGAATTTTCCGAGTTTTCCTTTGTCTGGAGTTATTGATCTGGAAATATTCTACCATTTTTTATACAAACCAATACTTAACACCCCTTTGGCCTACTGTGTTTTTATTTGTGCAAAATCACCCTTCTTCGACGAATATACTACTCTGTGGAAGAAAAGAAACGATGAAGTTTCATGACATTTCGGACATGTCAATTATGCAAGTTAAATTGTTTTGCGCGTGATGACTTCAGATTTTTTTAAATAAAACTATAATTTTTGGTCAGATTCATATAGAACAAAACTTTTTAAATTCAGCAACACACAATTATTATTTATATGTACATATAAATAAAATACAGATAATATAAAGAACTAAAAAGTAATAATCATTTGTAGAAATATATGAGATTAGCTTCATTTGTCTGTGAAATATATTGTATTGCAGTGAAATAAGGTTAATAACTAAACTATAACGTTCAATACGTTTACTTACAGCAAGAAAATAGTAATTTTGAACATTTTATTAATCACCATGTTAGGTTAAATTATTAAAAAACTAACTTTATTGTGATAAACTCTTCGAATCGTGATTTTTAGGAAGTAATAGAACTTTGTTTTTTACTTTTGTTAATGATCTGTATATCTAGAATCAGAACACTCCGTATATGAAGTATATTGATTTTCACAATCAAGTCACAATCGACTATTCTCACTTACTGCATTTGAGTTCAATAGAACAAAGTTGAACCAATATGATAGACCAGCAGAACTAGAAACCTTTCAAAAACTGACTGTGCCCACGGTCAGTAATATGGACCGTGGACTGTGCCGGGAGATAAAAAATGTCAAAGGTTACTTTTATATTTATTTCATACATGTACATATCAAATGCGCTGCACAGAGAGATTAAAAGTGTTGAGAATTCTTCAATAATAATAAATAATGACTTTTGATCAAAGAAAAATAAAACTAAATTCTTTTCTTATCATTATTATAACACAAAAATAAAAATATATTACGATTTAATACTTACCGTATAATAAAAAATATATCGTACCTAATTATGACTTTTTAAATATTTGTTATTTGATAAGGCATGTGATTTACATTTTACATTACATAATTCAAAGGTACATATTATATACTTTAAATATATTGATAAATGCACTTGAGAACATACAGTACCGAGAAGTAATTAAATAAATTACTAAATTTTTGTCTATTTTTTAATTGATTAATGAATGAATAATATTTTGAGAATTTAATGAAATATATAATGTATACATACTTCTACTGCAGTGTATGATTATGTAATCCCACAGTATCGTATCGAAAAATAAATTTAGGAAAGTACCTATGTTTTTTGTTCTAAAAATATTGGACCCTCCAATTTTTTTTCCAAATTATTTTGATTTTAAAGTAATCTGGGCTTGTTTCACTTAATATGGAACTAGTGCCTCCTAATGACTAGGACTTTGGTAGATAATTGATAAACAATAATTACTACATTTAAACAACTTTGCGAGTATAGAACATAGTTAAATAACAAAACCAGTTGAAACTAATAACTAGAAATTTAAATGTTTATTTTATACACTAATATCTCCTAATTTATTTACATGGTATGGTATTTAACTTGGTATTATGAACATAAAGATCAAACTGATTTAAAGTAGTAACATCGTCTTTAATCTTTAAGACTTCTAAAAAATATAAATTACCTATGTATTATTTGTCCTTTAAATTTAAAAATCTAAATATACCTGATATAATACTGTCATGTATAAGTAATCTTATCTTTTTATTTAATCATCAATCAAAAATTGAAAAAAGTTGTAAGATAAAATTGTAATATGTAGGTCACACGGAAATATTAAAAATGACTCGTGTTCTACAATACGAGAAGTAATAAAATGATTATTTCGACTTTGACTAAAATTATTCTTTATGTTTTTACATATTCACTTAGTGAAACATCTGGCTGTTTAAAAGGTGTTTAGAAACTTGTGAAACAAATTCTAATAGATGAATTAAATTGGGGAAAATATATAATCAAATAACTCGACCTATACGTAATCCAATCTGCATTTTTTTCTTCTAACAAAAATAGATAGTTATTTCCGAACATAAACAAATATACCCACTTATAAAATATTTCAATTATCCCGTGTTTCAATTTCTGGATAACGAAACGTGTGCGGTCACCTTATTATTAATACGTGGTTTGATCACATTCACAAGTGTATGGACATACAAAGTGGTCAAAATAATTATAGGTATGAAATATATACATACAGTAGATAAAAAAATATGTGAATGAACAGATTATGTTCCTTTAGTGCATTCAAATTTTAGAATACAAGTTACTTATAGTATAGCACCATAAAAGCGTGACAGTGTACATATCTCATCCCTTTTGGAGACCAAAGCAATATACTTCTAAAGTTCAATATAAATATGTATATTCCTCCCCAACAGAACATATACAAAAGGGTTTATCATTATAAACACGTTTACTTTATACTGTTATATTATATAGATATATGTACATATCTATCTTGTGTAGTTTTTGGAATATATAGGTAATTACAGAAAAGACCTCTTCTCTATTGGACGACCTTTTTTTTCCTAACGTGATACTTTTGGAAATCTAGTCACAGATTTTTTTTTAATATAACCATATTATAAAGTAATATGTACTACAACTTGTTTTTAATTAAAAAGGTGGATACCTATGCAAATCCGCCTTTGGCGTTTTTAAATTACTGAATGTACCGCAACTAGTTTTACATACAACTGAAATCTGAAAAAATTGGCCGACCTAAATAGTTGAGGATTTATTTATGCATTTCTGTCTCACAATCTGCTGCAAATAAACTTACAACCACCGTTTGGACTGGAGGCGCTAAGCTATTATTATCACGCACACAATACTTGTTACATTAATTAAACCCGGTGTAATAAAAATTCGCATTTAAGATGGACAATTTTAAAGGGACTTACTGTTTTTTAATTCCGATGGACAAAAAGCGATGCAGTTATACTTTTTCGATGCTCTCGCCGGCAGAAACAGGAAAACAGACGCCCGCACAGGTCCCAAATAACAAACAACTGTTTTCAAAAGGCCGAGAAACCAGAATTGAGAAAGTGGCGAGCTCCAACAGGCAAGATCTGAACCGTCTCCTAGGCAGCGACGTTTACATGATACTTTGTAATTGATTATGTTAAAAAAACCGTTGTGTTTGTTCACGACGTTTCAAGAAACAAAACTAAAATTTGATTTCCATTTGACAAAGTGATTAGGCTGAATATTTGATATCATGTTTTACTGCATATGCACCCATTATTTTGCTTTCTAAATGGTTAACTTCCATATTTCCAATTTATAATTCGCAAAAATATGTTTTCACTATAAATATTTATTGGTAAATTTAACAATAACAGTATTGTATAATCTTTATTTATTGTATATTCTTTATTTATACAAGGGTAGGGGGTAGGTAGGGGACAGAGGAAGAGGTAGGTGTTCTTAATAATTTTATTTGTAACACAATAAAGATGCAAAAAGAGTAAAAATCGAATAATCAATATTAATACGGCATTATACGAGAAATGTATAATTCATTTTTCAATTACTTCAGTTTTTATTGACAATTTTAGTTAGATAATACTTATTAAATAAATGTAGTCTCAGTAAAAATAAATATTTTTTAGTAGGTAATCATTATGGTACCTAATATGCTTCCTTAGTTAAATGTCATTTTCTTTCAATATAAAAAAAACTCATTCAACCTTTGTGATACTAAGAGCTCCTTAAAAATTTGTATGTTCAAAGTTCAAAGATTATCAGTAGGTAGATATTTTAAAAGTTTCTATACAAATGCAATTTACATTGCATATTTAAATCCATATTACATATTAATATTTTCCCTTATCTCGAAAATGTAACTACAATACATTGTTTTTTTTTATAAAAGCGTAATATAATTAAAATGTATTTTTTCCGTACATTATATTTATATCTCAAAAACAATTTCTACTTGATAAGTTCAAAAAGTACCAATTTAGAAGTTTTGAAAATAAACTGCGGTCGTTTTGAATGAATCATGTAAACGTAATATTTACTCATATCAGCACTGCCTACTTCGAACTCCGATCGTGGATGGGACTCCTACATTAATCGGCGCTCACTGCTCACTGCTGTTATCGGGTAAAGTTTGAGGTTAGAATGGCCGGCAGTTTAACAAAATTTTGCAAAAATTTTAGCCAATTATCAAGTAAACACATTGTTTTACCGTCGGCAGCATGTAGTCAAAACAGAAAATGTAAGTAACTTTATGTTATTGTTAGTACCGTAAAACCAGATGGTTTTTCTTAGATTTTCAATACGGGCATGAGGGTGTAGAAGGCAGGTAAAAGCTTTAGAGGATATCGTAGAAATGTTAACCGTTAGTTGCAGATTTAATATATTAAATCTGTGGTTAGTTGATTTTATTTCGTTTGTGATTTGTAATAGGTACCTACATATTATTTATTTGCTATGCTAATTACTTATTAATTGCAAACCTATAAAAAATACAGTGTCAAAAAATGTTTGTGGCATCTTTCGGCATGATATTAATTTTAAGTATTGGTTATATATAGGTAGTTAGTTAGGCACAGTTCTTTCAAGTGAAGACATATCAAACATGAAACATGGTTTTATAAAAATTGCGTTATCTATCGAAATATAAATAGAAACTTGGTGATAAATGTTTTTGAAAAAATTCTGACAAATCTGCTTACTTAGATTTATCTATGAATATAAATAATAATTAATTTTCTAGAGTAAAACTAAATATTAATGAAACCATTAATTTCCTTATCCAATATCTAATATGATTATGGATTTTTACAAGCTTTTATTTTTATAAGTTATGCTACATACCTACTTATACATAAGTATATACAGGGTGTTTCAGAAAGACCTTCCGTAAATAAGTGACTTTTCTTTCAAAGTAGACATGTCAAAACTTATTGATAGATGTCTCATAAACAACGTATACATAGGTACTTAGTAATATTTTAAACTCTAATTAACTTTATATCAAAATTTTAGTGATTTTTAGTGTAAAATTTTGATATAAAGTTAATTAGAGTTTAAAATATTACTCGGAATGTATAAGCGTAGTTTGAGAAAAGTCACTTATTTTATAAACCGTAATATTGTGAGTTTAATTAAAAACCTTTTTTCTCGAAAACCATCCACATTAGGAAATTCTAATAAGAATACATTATTTTTAGGAAATAAAATTGTACGGCAGAAATTAGAGCCCGAATGGTAAAAAACCTAACCTTAAAAAAATTAGAACTTAAAATGTAATAGGAATGTAGCATAACTAGCGCCCTCTATGAAATATCCAAAAAATAATTAGACCAGCGTTTTTGGCATCTTTAAAAACCCCGGAAAACCAAATTTCATAAAAATATTTCGCACCGTTTGGAAATGTTCGTAAAAATTCTATTTAAAAAATGTTATTTTGTCGCTCTGTATCTCGAAAACAAGAGGAGATAGACATATATAGTTCATAAGACAAAAAATTCTTATTTTTTGTCGTATTCCCTGTATTTACGGGAGGTCTTTCTGAAACACCCTGTAGAAGTAGATCCATTCAGAAAGTGACGAATGCTAAACTAGACCAATTTTTCGCATTGAAAGATCACGGAGAACGTGTAAACATAAAAAAATGTACCTTTCCTGTTTTGTCCGGCAAATTTGTAAAGATACCCAATAATTATGATTAATACGTGTCTTAATAGTTTCCTGCGGAGTATGATTATGTTTATAGTACCGTATGCGATTTTTTGTATGTTCAATAGACCTGCAAAATTCAGAAAACGTAAGATAACGTACGAGGCAAAAATATGCTTCTTTCCTTATTTTGTCAGTGAGGAAAACTTATATAACTGGTAGGTACAGTAAAGAGTGATTTCCAACATATATTTTCTAAAATGCTGGACAATTGCGCATATACATAAACGCTCCCCTTAACGGTTTATTACAATAATTTAGACTAACATTTAGGAAAAAGCATAAAATATATATCAAATTATATACATGTAATGTAGTTATATAATCTAAGATTACTTTTTTAGTTTCTAAATTATATCTGATTACTTATTATTATCTCATTTTCAGATAGCTTTGACATTGATAAATTAAGAGAGAAGTACAGTACCTACATACCTACAGTTTTATTATTCCTAAATGCTGTTAGCTTTGTTAATATTTATTGTTACATTATTTGTTCTGTTGGGCATATCTTATCAAATGATGTAAACTTTCACGGCCATTATCATTACCTTCTATACCAGATTCAAATCCCTTTCGTACACAATAGGTACAGAAAAAATTGTACTGGTATGGCTACCTTTACTCTTGTGACGTTGAGTTGAGACTGATCTTTATTTTATCAATCTTCATTCTCCTTTTTTTTTAAATGTTTAAATTTTATTAACGGACATCAATTGCACTCATTATATGTATTATATCGGTAATTTTTAGATATCGATATATTGTATGTTATAATAATTATATGTGGAGGTCTATAGTAAACGTTAAACTTGTTTGAACTAAATACAATTTCTTATCATGTAGAAAGTTGTGCGAACAAGAACCAGTTGTATGTTTATTATACACCTGGTAGTTAGCATTATTCAAATTGTGTCATTTATACGTAATAACCAGCAGCAAAGGATTATATTTTACAAAAATAAAAAAACGACATTTCAAAACATATTTGTTACAGTTTTTTAAAATAATTCTATGGATAAAAATATCACGAGGACATGGTGAAAAATACGTTGTTAGTTGTTATAATTAATGTTCATTATATGTATACATAATAATAAATTGGCATGAGGATGTAACTGTTATGATTTGAAAAATTTTAAGTTGTGATTTGCGTTGTTCCAAGTTTAATTATATTGAAAAGTTAGATTAGGTACATAATTGTCCTTCATAAATCACTCAAAATAAATTCTAGAAATACTTTTAAAACTACCGAAAATTCATTGACGTAATATTAATGTATATAAAACGTAAAAATAGATCACGTAAACATAAACCTAGCGTGTTTTAACCGTTTTTCAAAGATAGATAGAATTGAGGAGGGAAGTTATTTTGAAATAACATTCAACTTAGAAGAAATTTTAGGCAAATAATTATTTTAAAAAAATTCGGTGAATTCTATGAAAATAATTAATTGACAATATATTTCTATAAATTATAAATCATATACTTAGATCTCCTTATATTTATGGTCTGCCCATCGTTCTGTTAATTTCTCAGTCAACATGGTTTATAGTTATTTGTGTACATTTTGGATTTCATTCTGTTAAAAATGGACATGGTTGGATAACGTGGTAAAAATATATCCTGTTTACGGAATATTATAAATGATAATGGATCTGTGAACAAATACTGCAGCTTTGACGTCATATAATATTTTAAATGATAACTAAATATTTTCCTCTTTTAATGATGACTATAAAAAATAGTTTAATTGTTAAAAATTTAAAACTTTGAAATAGGTTCCCAGCATTTTAAATTATGGTGTATAAGGACTTTTTTTTAATAAAAAAAATTGTCAAATCGTGTTCACACCTGGTACCTGGTTGAGCGCTGCCTACATCTATAAGGGCAATGATTCCTTTTTGGTTAAGTGACATAAATTTATATAAAGAAGGGAATAAATTAAATATTTACCAATCAAATTCTGAACTGAACTAAAAAAAAAAATAGGTAATAAAACTTTTAAATCATATTTTAATTGTGAAGTGTTAAGTGTTAACTAAATATTTACCTAATTGTTACTGTATTTAGGGCCGGGCTGAAGGGGGGGGGGGGGGGGCTCCGGGGACTGTAGCCCCGGGCCTCATGAGATCAGGGGGCCTCGACAAGATCTGGCAAAATGAATTTTAGATTTTTTTTTAGAAACAAACCTAAAACTTTAGGATTTTATATCAAGTTGCTGATTGCGTGACCTTTTTTTAGAATCAAGCAATCTGATGACTGTATTATATTATTTGTCACTAAAAAGCTTGTTTCCCACAAATAGTTAATATCCGCCACAAACAGCATAATAATAATTCTTAGTGCTTCAGCAAAAGAAGTTTTTAACCGATCTTGGGTAATTTTTTTAGATAAATGAATTGTTGTAATCTGACACTATAACTACAGTAGTCATGTTGTTATCCAATTGTATTCCAACGTTTGGTATTTTTAGGAAGCAAAAACATTTTTTTAGTCATACCTTATTTAGATATTTTTGAGACAAAAGTTTTTTTACTGGATATAATACAATAACAATAATAAAATATTTAGTTAACACTTTTAAGATTAAATATAGGTAGTTTAATTTTCTTTTTGAAACGATAAGTGTTTTTTCTGTGCATATTTTTATGGTAGCCATAAACCTTAAAAAATATTGTTTAAAATTTGGTGTTGCGGATACTTTTTTGATGCAATAAAATAAAATACTTTTTAATCTTGAAACGGTGATCACGAACTGGTATAACTTGTCGGTATAGTTTATATTCTTAATATAATTTTTTTAAGTGTTTGATTGTGACTTGCCTTAAATATACGGGACACCAAAGGTGACTATCCACTGGAAAAATAAGCCATGCGATATTATTCTATGATATATTAAAATTTGTGCAGCGCCATTTCTCATGGTCTTTCTTATGTATACTGAATTGTTAGATTTTTTTTGAGATAAAATAACGTGGCTACTTGCAGTTTAATTTGTTTGTTTTCAAAATCTTATTCATTTCAGATAATTGTTGTCGTTATTACTGCAACAGTTCAACGCATTGCGTTATATATGTCAACTTTATCTTCGTACTTATTAAAAAAGATGGGTTGCAATGAAAACTTATGTTATTTTGTGTATTTTTATTTCTTGGGAAGTTTCTGATAAACTACTATTATTTTCTTATAGTACTTGAATAATATTAAAAAAATACGAGATGCGGGTGCTTCATTTAAAGCCTGGATAAATTAAGGCCTTACTTTAAGTAAACATATAAGTCATAAATAAATAATAAAAATAATAAAGGCCCTAGATTGTTAAAACGTAAATGTATTCAAGTTTCTTCAACAAAATGTTATAGTTAATTCTCTCAGTAATGTGCTTTTGATATATCTGTGTACAGAACATCTACTTGACCTTGCTCGTATAATGGTACTAATGAGTTAGACAATTTTTGAGTTAATTTATCTTAATTTGCCGTTGATCTGTTAAATTACTAAGTTGCGAGATAATTTAAGTTCGTCTAATTTAGCAACTTTTGGTGGACGAATATTTTAATAACCTGATGCGATAATTTTATAAATATGATAATCTAAGCACTTCTAAATCCATGCTGCCATCACGAGGATTTGATTCAAAAGTCTAGACATGTATGTGTCCGCCGGGAGGCCACTGGACCCTGAAAGATGTGTTTACGACCGCCGAGAGGGTCTTGCCCTCGAGATGCCTTTTGGATCGACAGACCAGTTGAAAAATGTTGAACTCGTTCCACAGTGACTTCCATCGACTTCGCGGAATAAGATTCGGGTTTTGATGAATGTTTTTGTTTTTCTAGGTTCCTACTCATTAACTTGAGATTACGGGTGAACGTATCTACCTACTTCAAATTCGGTCCTCGAACGATGTCTCTGTTCCTTCCTTGCTAGATACAGGGCCGGCGTCAGGGTATTTGCCATCTGAAGGAAAAAAAATGCTTACTGTTGTTTAAAGAAATTTCTTATAAAAATCTTATGAAAAATGAACTTCCATTCCATTAGACAAAAATAAGAAAAAAAATTATATGTAAGGTATATAACAAAAACCGCGGATAGAAATATTTTCAATTAAAATTTAAAAAATGCCAGAAAAACCTTGTAATTGTCACATCTCATATTTTAATTCGTTACACTGTGCGTTGCTGTAGCAATCGCGTTTTGCTCGAAATTGCAATAGGGTCGTTTCCTTAGATGAAGTTTCATGCGACGAAACGCCAACGCAAATATATCACTATAGAGCAGAATGAGAAAAATCAATTGTAAATTTGTTTTTGTCGTCATTTATTACGTACATCAGTGACGGCGACTCGCGAAATAATTTCCAAAAAAATTTGTTAGTATTTATATAAAGAAGTGTTCTTTTATTTTTCCCAAAATTCATTTTTCCTACGTTACAGCATCATGAAGTTTGAAAATGAAACGTTAATATCAAATTCGAACTTAAATATTTATGTCACTATGAGGAAAAATGTATTTTGAAATAAACAGAAAGAGCACCTGATTGTATCTATTTGATTATAGAAAACAAATTTTTGTAGATATGTGTGCATCTATTTCGAGATATCAGGCTCGGCCACCCCTATTGTAATTTTAAATTTCGCAAATTTTATTTGAATTTTTTTTTCTCAAAAGCCTAGAAATCATTCCCTAAAACACCGTATGGATCCCATATACTTCATTATCAAAATATGACCACTTTAATTTTCGCGAGATCGCGAGCTGTCAGCTCTATTTGCATAAAAAAAAATGAAAATCGGCAGCAAATTAAAATACTTCAAATTCTGCAGATTGTTTATATACAAGCAGTTTCCAAAATTCAGGGGCTGACAGAACATTAAAATATAAAGCAGGTTTTTTTTCTATGGATCATGGAGCCCATTGTTTTTTAATTTTGAAAAGAAAAAGATAAATTTTTTAAATCAAATTTCGGATATATCTTTTTCTAAAAAGGTTTTGATGATGCTGAATACATTTATTCTAGTTTTCGACTATCCTCTCATTAGTTTTGATCTTCCCTAATGATATTTTAGAATATAACTTTTTGGAATTGCTGAAAATTCACGAGAAAAACGTCAATACGAACTTTTACCAACCTTTTTCTTATTCTCACTTTTTTATTTTAAAAAAACATACAACTTAAAGAAAGCAGTGATATACGTATTTTGAGAGATAATAGAGCTAATGAAATTCTAATTTTGCCAAAAAATGCCTTAAATTCAAACATTTCTGTGATAAAAATACGAAATAAGGAAGTCAGTTCGTTTATTAGATATACTGAGAAATAATATTAAATTTTTAATGCGCTTCTTTGATACAAAATGTACTGAATAATCAGCTTTTTCGTTACTTTAGATTAGTTTTGTATTTATTGATAGAAATTTATTAATGGATAATCTATAGTATTTTTCAATTCAATATTTAGTACAATGTATTTTGTAGAACATATTTTAATTTTATAAAGTAATTTTTGTTGTTCTACGTTCAACCCTGGAATTTGTGGAACTTTTTTCAAAACACTCTGTATAAGTAACAAACGTTTCTTTATTCTCCAGTTCCATTTGAAGATTAAAAACGAATATTTTTTATTTTCAGATGCAACGAAAAGAGTGGAGGCAAAGAAGCCCGTAGTGGAAATGGATGGTGATGAAATGACCAGGATTATCTGGGAAAAAATTAAAGAGTCGCTAATCTTTCCTTACGTTAAAGTAGAATGTCTCTACTACGACCTTGGTTTGCCTTACAGGTAAAACAATTGATAATGCCACAGACGGAGTTAGACTGCTATAGATAATTACATTTAATGTTGTTTAATAGCATCTAGTATTTATAGCGATTTTAATTGTTTCATGGCCTCTGCACGCAATTGATTCATTATCATGTCCACGTCATATAGTTCGTGGAATAATAAATAATGCTGCAAGATAATTTGCTCTAAATATTCGAATGAATGAAATATGAAATCGATATGTCATGCAACTTCCTAAATTCCTGAATATAAAACCAGATAATTTTTAGATTGGATGTATGTAATCAGGTACATACAAGGCACTAAATGTTTTACAATATGTTATTAATAGAATCTTTACAAAGATATTTATGTTTGAAACATAGCACACATTTTTCAAAATTTAAATAAATTTTCCCTTTTTGTAGGGACCAAACAAATGATCAGGTCACCATAGATGCAGCCTATGCAATTTTAAAACACAACGTTGGCATTAAATGTGCGACAATTACTCCAGATGAACAGAGGGTTGAAGGTGCGTATTTTTAAATCTGCTGAGGCTGTTAAATTTATATGAATTACTTTTTTAGAGTTTAAGCTGAAAAAAATGTGGTTATCTCCAAACGGCACTATAAGAAATATTTTGGGAGGCACGGTATTTAGGGAACCGATAATATGTAATAATATTCCGAAATTAGTACCTGGGTGGACAAATTCCATAATTATCGGTCGTCACGCACACGGGGACCAGTACAAAGCTACAGATTTTGTTGTCGAGAAACCAGGAATGGTAATAATGCTTTTTGCATATTATTTATTTTCATGGGGTAAGTGTTAGTATACTTTCACCTTTTATTTTTTAGGTAGAATTAGTGTATACACCCGATGATGGTAGCGACGTGCAGAAGTATGAATTGTTTAAATACAAAGGAGGTGGAGTGGCCATGGGAATGTATAACACTGATGAAAGTATAAGATCATTTGCCCATTCATCGTTTCAAGTAGCTCTCCAAAAGGGATGGCCCCTCTACCTTTCTACCAAAAATACTATCCTCAAAAAGTACGATGGTAGATTTAAGGACATTTTCCAGGAAATATATGAAAGGTGAGCAATGACTACCACCGAATTTATATGTTCTGGTTTATAAGCGAAAAAACTTCCAGTGATTACCAAAAACAATTTGAAGCTAAGAAAATTTGGTACGAGCATCGTTTGATAGACGATATGGTAGCGCAGGCTCTTAAATCATCTGGAGGATTTATATGGGCCTGTAAAAACTACGACGGTGATGTACAATCTGATATCATCGCACAGGGCTATGGGTCTCTCGGAATGATGAAATCCGTCCTAATGTGCCCTGACGGCAAAACTATAGAATCAGAAGCAGCTCATGGAACAGTTACAAGACATTATAGGTAATTAATCAGAAAAAATGTATTTTTATTCATTGTTTTTCTATTGATTTTTGCTTTTTTTATTAGGCAACATCAAAAGGGCCAACAAACCTCAACCAACCCGATAGCTTCAATCTTTGCGTGGACCTGCGGACTGGCACATCGTGGAAAGTTAGACGATACTCCGGATCTCGTAAATTTTGCCAATCAACTGGAGAAAGCTTGTATTGATACCGTGGAATCTGGAAAGTACACAAAAGATTTGGCAGCTTCCATCCACGGCCTTCCAAATGTGAAAGACGGAATGTTTTTGAATACTCAGGACTTTCTGGACGCTATATCAGACCAACTTAAACGAACTGTAGCTTAAAATTTGTGTATTTTTAGTTAATTTCACTTTTAAACTATTTTTATACATTTACATACCATTCGTCATGTTATTTAATAAACTTTATTCAATTAATAAATATATTTTTTTGTAGTATGGTTTTTTAATTCTTAGCTCACATTTTCCTATTTAAACTGTGAGGCATATTCACAAAGTAAGAGTACTGAGGCTCTGATGTTCTGGTTTTTGTTTTCGACAAAGTTGGAAACACTGCTTTCAAGGCCAAGGTGTTGGGAGCAGAAGGTGTGCTCATCTGTAATCAGTTGAGAACTGATGTTGTAGTGGCGTGTTGAAATGAGTGCTGCTATTCCAAATCCTGCCAACTGCGAGGTGAGGAGTGAAAACTGTTCATGGGGATGGTGCGATGAAACGTACTAGTGTGTATAAGTGATATCTTGAGTATAAAACTGACAGAACAAATGTTCATGATGAACGAAGGAGAAAAATCATGGCAAGTGTGTTTTGGGACCATAAGGGGATTCTCTTCATTGACTTTTTGCCTCAGTGGGAAACAATTTATGCTGCATGGTACTGCGTAACTTGAAAACACTACGGAGGGCGATACAGAACAAAAGTAGGGGAATGTTAATGAAGGGAGTATGCTTGTTGCATGACAATGCACGTCCTCACACAGCTAACGTCACAAAGCAATGTTTGGATTAATTCGGTTGGAACATCCCGCTTTCAGCCCTGACCTGGCACCTTCTGATTTTCAACTTTTCTCTGGGGATGTTTGTGGATGGAAACAGGTTTTCTACTGAAGAAAAGGCTCACAGTGCCAAGAAACAATGTGCCTGAGAAGAGGAGATTTTTTTTATGAAGGTATCGGAAAACTCATCTTTCGGTTTACAAAATACATAGAGATTGAAGGTTACTACATCGGAAAATATTGTTTGAAGTACCTTTCTGAAAATGTAAATTTTTCATAAAATTTACTACCATTTCGATATTTAAAAAACTGAGTACTCTTACTTTGTGGATATGCCTTGTAATAAATATATAAATATATAATATATAAATAAATAAAAATTTTTTTTCTCCATTTCTTTATTAATTAAAAAATTGTTCGTTTGCCAAATTTTAAATTGAAACAGTAAATTCAAAACACAGTCTTTGACAAAATTACCTGAAAGATATGGTATTACCAGGTACTCCAGGTAGGTAAAAAAAAATTGTAGATGCCTTGTTAGTATGCAACCAACAGTTAACTGGTGTACCGTTTTGACGGGTCAATTACCTAGTAGGATATTTAAAAAACACATCTATTAGCACACATTTTTTACTCTAATACAAAGGTATTAGGCTAATTCAAACAAAATCAAAAAATGTTTTCAAAAAAATCTTATCAAATGAAGTTTTCAATACCGAGGTTCCAAGGCAGGAGCGGCTTAAGCACACATAGGCAACTTTACTGGTAAGAGATTGAAAATTGCCCCCACTACTTGACTCCAGAGCCCGAGAGGACAGCGATATGTATCTGTCCTTTTTTAGACAGAGACAAAATAAATTTCTGTTGTCTCTGTTAGCATTCATTTTGAAAAACAGCTGACGCCGGAACTTCATCATGATTCATACGTTACAATATAATTTTAGAATTTTCAAAAAATGTAATAATGTGAATGAAGAAATTATACGTGGAACATTGCAAATGATATCAATTTACAAATGAACTACATGGTGATTTACAGTAACAAAAAATGAAACTTCGAATTCTTTAGTGAATTTTAAGGTAGGTCTTTCATATAAAATTTTTGTCTAGGTCGGTTCACTAAAACAATCCAGTGTTAAATTAATATTTTTAATTTTTTATAACATTTTAGAAACTAATGAGTGAAATAATTTGAAATTAATCACATGAATGTATGTAAATATTGTACAAAATCGGAAGCATTTTCTTAAAAAACAATGTTCCAGTGGCTGAGATACAGGGCTTTATTATGATATTTTCGGATTGTCCTTACAAGTTTCTACAAATCACCACCCCTTTATGTTTTTCGAAAAAAAAAAACATTTTCGTTGAACTGAAAACATTGTTTAAATTAAATAGAAACACTTTCTTAATCTATTATTTAATCGAATAAAGAACATCTCATAGATGATTTTATTTGAGTAAATGCTCAAAAATATCTCAATTTGCGCAAACACAGCCTACTAATGTAACGATTAAAGAGCATTGTATTCAAATATCGAGGTGTCTTTTCAGTTCATTTTTTAAGTTTTACTCATGAAATCAGGCTTTTTTGGAAAAATATAAAAGAATAGTAATTTGTAGAAAATTGGAAGAGGAATGCGGAAATATCATGATTGTTACAATAAAGCAGCGGCATACTTTTTTATTTAGACAAATAATCCAGCAATACTCTGCAGCATTTATTTTTTAATTTTTATTATTTGTAAGAAATTTAAATATTTTTTAAATTCTAATACCCTGTATTTTTTTAACGAAACTTCCTAGATAAAAGCTTTATACGAAAGAGCCCTCTTAAAATTCACTAAAGAATACGAGGTTTCATTTTTGGTCAGTGTTTGCGAATCACCTTACGAATATTATGAGAAGTTATCGTATGCCCCTTTACACCCAATGAACTTATCTTATACCCCTCGTATGTGCAATAATTGCCCTTGAAAGTGTTTCTTACTCCAAACACCAATGGCGTATTTAATGCATTTTTTCATTGTGTTGCCTATCTATTTCTTACATAGTATATCTTATCTATGGGCTTAAGGCTCGGGCGACTGTCCGGGGCGCCAAATGGGTGGTGAAAATAGAAAATTCAAACATGAAAAACATACCTACACAGTGTAGTGTAGGCTTCTCTATAATAGAGTATATACCTTACATTGTTACCGCGAAAACATAATTTTTTCTAATTTTTCTCCACCGGCACCGTGGTGATTTTTTGTTTTAAGGGTGAGGGGGCGCCAAATTTACCCTCTTGCCCGGGCGAAAATTTTACCTTAAGCCGGTCCTCTTCCAAGGTACCTAATCCCCCAGACAAGATTCTGAATTATGTGCTAATATTATGAAAAACAACTAATTTGTGGAGCTACATGCCCCATCAGTTAGCATCGAATGATATCGAAAATAACCAAATAAACACTACAAATATAATTAATATTTACACCCAAATCTGATATACTGAAATTGTCAAATAATATAATAATTCAAAGAAGTGTTTAGTATTTTTGTTATTATCTTTGACAAAGGCAGGCTATCTACAGTCCTAACCTAAGTAAAATGAAAATTTTTTTTGTAGCACCTAGCTACTATTTTTCATATGCTCATCTTTTTCACAGAAAATGAGATTTCAACAAAAACATAAAATACTTCTGTAAATGATTACATTATTTAATAATTATATATGTATATGTATATGACGTATGATTTCTATATTAATTATATTTAAACATATTAGTTTTAATTATTATTTTGGATAATTATTTATTAGGTAGGTACTAGCTGTTTTTAGCTTTATTGCTGGTATAGTTCAGTGCTATAGTTGGAGCATGTTGGCATGTAGTCCATAAAGTAGGTAGTTGTTTCTCTTCAATATAAACTAATGCAAAAAAATTAAAGGATCAAAAGAATTTACGAAATTTTTCCGTGATTTTTGACAGACTGTATTTAGGTGAAAAATGGTCGCATCGAGAATTAAAAAAAAAGTACTTTGAATCTCTAAGATTCTAGTTTTTAGATCTTTCAGTCAAAATTTTTTAGGAGCTACAGTTATGCAATTCTAAGAAATAGAGCGACAAAAAAATTTTGTCCACAGACTTGGAAAATTTTTTTTCAGCTAAGCCATTGCATGGACCAGATATAGCTTGTTTATTCAGTTTCAATTTCTTTTTTTTTTAATTTCGATACGACCAGCTCAAAAAATATGACCATATAATTTTTTTCAAAAGTTTGAAACAACGAAACGGTTCGCTAGATCGAGTTCTTCTGGGTATATCGAACTGTAAAAGTCATGCTTAACATATCAGTCATTTCGTGAATATTTCTAATTTAGCCGCCAATTTTTTAAAAAAAACATAAATTACCCTTTTTTCCTGTTTTTTAAAATTCGTGTAAAAGATGAAAATAAAAATCTTTCCGAAAAGTTGCGGCAGCATGTTATAGAAAATTTGTTCCAGTTTTAAGTCAGATATTGCGATGAAAAAATTATCGTATCGTAATTTAAAAAAAAGGACATTAAGCTGAATAAACAAGCTATCTGGTCCATGCAATGGCTTAGCTGAAAAAATATTTTTTTCAAGTCCGTGGAAAACCGTGGAAAAAAAAATTTGTAAAATTTATTGTCGCGCTATTTCTTAGAATTGCATGATAATCGTAGATCCTAAAAAATTTCGACCGAAAGATCTAAAAACTAGAACCTTAGAGCTTCAAAATGCTTTTTTTAATTCCCGATACCACCATGTTTCATCTAAATACAGTCTGTCAAAAATCACGGAAAAATTTCGGAAGTTCTTTTGATCCTTTAATTTTTTGCATTAGTTTATTAGCATATTATATAGAAAATATATCTTACAGTTTTGTGTATTCCAATACACGCATCCCGACAATGACGCCCGTGTGCCATGGCTGGGAGTTCCAAATAACATCCATTGTTTTTTGCTCAAGCCCATAATTCGTATGTAAATTTTTCAATGGATCCAGAAATGAACATCGAAATAAGAGGAAGCCGGCAAAACCAATTCATTTTTAATTCAATTCATTCAATTTTTATTTCAACAATGTCGACGGTACAATTTTATGACCTTTACATATTTATCGCAAATATATAAGTTTTTTTTCGAGGCTCTAATTAGCTATAAATATTTCGTTTGTTTGATAACATGTGAAAAAGATTATCTGGAGGGAACTTGCTTCAAAATTCATACATAGCGTGCAAACTACAAACAAATAAATAAATAATTTACATTTACGACGTTATGATTGTATGTACACTATAGGCAATAATAAATGCCCTATTCCTCTTTACTTCACTTAAATGGCCGCAGCTTTCATAATTGATATTACAAAAAAATATATAATTATTTGGTACAGCAAATTGCATTATGAGAAAATATTTCCAAAAACTCAATTTTATTTCCCCTAATATGTATTTATATTCCGGTAAATACATAATCTACTTATATCTTGTAGTACTGCACATTATTATGATGCACTGAAGTACTTGAATGTTTACCAATTACCATTGATTAATAAGCGCAAATCATCACTGAATTTTGTATACAAAGAAATTAAACAATTATTATCTTATCTCAACAGTTTAAAAATTGTTTGCTGGTCAGAGAGGTTACCAATAATCGAATACAATTTTCCATGGCAGAATAAAGTCGAAATTTAGTAAGCGGGAAACACTACATATGTCGTGAAAAAATGAGTGATAATCTTGTGTGCATTAAAGATTTCGAAGTTCATGCTCATGAGGTTTTGTCCAGAAATGCTTTGGATTATTATAGAAGTGGTGCCGGCCAGGAGGAGACTTTGATCCAGAACAATCGCGCATTTTCCAGGTAACATTTTACTTTTCAGTACCTACATTAATTATCTTAAATTAGGTAATACGTGTTTAAGTTTCTAGTAGAATCGTGTTAGCAAAATAATTTTTAAGCTTGGCAGATGATATTGTAACACTAACAAAAAAAAAATTGTTGTTATAATACAAAAACTTTCTTATTGGTGTAGATTTTTGGTATCGAAGAACATAGTTTGACTTTATTTGATAATATTTTTTAGAAAACATTTTTTAAAGATTTTTTAATTAGCTTAATACCTACCTTTAAATAAGAGTAAAAAATGTTTGTCTTCCACATAAATATAACCATCCATTTATTTCTAAGCAAAGAGCTCTTCTGAAGGTCTCTGATTTTCTTAAGTTTACTGCATTTACTTTAAATAAAATAAATGTAATATTTGAAAACTTAAGTAAATATTTATAATACGAAAATGATTTCAATTAGTAGTAAGAACGAAAGAGAGAAGAACATACCTGTTTGAAATACATGTTTGTTAGTTTGTGATCTTTTTGCAAGAGATATCGATATAATTTCCGTACCTTTGGTCATTAATTATTTATTGACGTGATACTTATTGAACAGGGGAAATAATAAAATACTGGTAAATGATATGGAATATTTAAAATAAATACTATATTTATTTTAGATATAAAATTCGTCCAAGATGTTTAAGAAATGTAGCAAACAGAGACCTGTCCACCACAATTTTGGGAGAAAAGGTGTCCATGCCCATTGGGATAGCACCAACAGCTATGCAAAGAATGGCTCATCCAGATGGAGAATGTGCCAATGCCCGAGGTAAGCAACAAAACCAGTAGCGATTGATGATTTGAATAATTTATGGATTTTTAGCTGCTCAGGCCTTAGGAACAGTTTTTACTCTCAGCACTATAGCTACTAGTAGTATCGAGGAAGTGACCAAAAGTGCACCAAACGTGCTAAAGTGGTTTCAGCTTTATATTTATAAAGATAGGTAACCTACTTGTCAATGTTTATTATCCATGAAATGTTTATAATGTTTTCGTGGTATATAAAGTTACGATAATTAACCGTTTTAGGAAGGTTACCACAAGTTTAGTCAGGAGGGCTGAACAGGCTGGCTTCAGGGCTTTAGTACTAACAGTGGATGCACCGATGTTTGGATTGCGTTTAGCGGACATAAAAAATAAATTTACGTTGCCACCGCACTTAAAGTAAATATGTTTTTTATACGTAGATTTGATTAAGATTTTAAATTTACGTCTTAACAGTAAAGAAGGGAGAAACAAATTGGGGAAAGCAGAAATGTACGCAAATAAGCAAAAAAGTTTGAGGAATGCGTAATGATAGCCTCATAAATAGGGCTGTCAGAGAGAGCTGCAATTCAGTCGCTGCTCAAAATGCTTTTCACGTTCACGTCACGTTAGCATTCTGTTGGCTTTGTTACCGTGCAGATGTAGTTAATTCATTTCTATCCGTTGGTGTTTATGATGGTGTATTGTAGATAATTTAATTTGTTGCCTTTTATAAAATAATGCGTACGCCTATGTCCCGCGACTCAATTACGACAGCCCTACTCATAAATTTAACATCCATTATAATAATTCTGCCTTCAGTTGTCAGTACCGTAGGTATGAGGGGTTAGCCACTTTCCTGAAGTGTAACTTATAGGAACTCTTTTACCAAAAAAATAAAAATAAAAATAAAATAACCTTATAAATGTCCATATTTTCCTAGATTTTAGAATAAATTCTATAATAATATATATTTTTATGCAACAAAAGAAAAAGAATGAATTAATAGGTTGACCGAATGAAAAACTAAACTGAACGAGACTGATAAAGTTTATTTTATATTTTCCCTTGTTTTTAACTCATTTTAGATTAGCTAACTTCGACGGCACAAAATCCACAGATATTAACAAAAATAATGAAGAAGGATCCGGTCTCAACGCTTATGTAAATTCTTTATTCGACGCGTCGGTAACCTGGGAAGATATCGAGTGGTTAAAAAGTATCTCTACACTTCCAATTGTACTAAAAGGAATACTAACAGCTCAGGATGCTATAATGGGTGTTGAAGCTGGCGCCGCCGGAATCTGGGTGTCAAACCATGGGGCCAGACAAATTGATGGAACTCCGGCTTCCGTAAGAAGTATTCTTAATCAATTTAATTGAAATGAATTATTAAATTTCTATCCGGTCAATTAAAATCGTTGTTGAATTTTTTTTTTTGTCTGCTTGACATCTTTCATATTTATAGATTCTCTTATAGAGTGAAACTTAAATGTGTACATATGTATTAAACAGAGGTACAGTTTGCGTGTAATTTAATATTTTTTGGCGACAAAATTAGGAAGAAAAAAGCCGAATTTGAAATATACTATAAAAACCTATTGAGAACCTCTGACTGAAACTACAACTATTCAGTATACAGCGTTGGCGATGTTACACAGAATTCTTAAAATGTAACATTTTATATGAAATAGAAAAAAGAGAGAAATAAATAAGCATAAATTTAGGCTATACGTCAAAGAAATTTAGAAATATAAGTATGTGAAAATAAGCGATACACTATCTTTTGGTTCTCGTAAGAAATATAAATCTTGACATAGGTATACTTGTGTTGGGTTTTGTTATTTAGTGTTTATTTAACAGTTTCTAGATTTATTTTATTAGTTTTTAAAAATCACGGTTGGAAAATAAAAATGGAGTTGATCAATATCTAGGGATTTTAATTTGTAGCAATTGTCCAATCTAGGAACTTTATAATATTCAGATGCCTATAAATGAATTCTATATAACTAAATATTGAGCTTTTACTGAGCGGTGGACATCTTACAAAATGTATGCACCAAAACCAAATTTGTACACTTTTGCCATATTTTTTTAACATTTCTTAAGTTTACGTGCAAATGCATATAAAGAATGTGCTAGATGATCTTGCTTTTTATAGTATTTATCAACTTACTACAATATTTCACTTGAATACGTCATAGTTCACTAAAAATATTAATATAAAAAATTACTAAAAAGAAAAACACCGTTCATGAAAATAATCAATCGACACAAAATATACCAACACCTTGTGTTATCCTTCCCCCTGAGAAACAATGAGCGCAGAGTTCGTGGATTCGCGTCTTATAACAAAATCGGACACAGTTTGCTAATGTAAATATGAATAACGTTCTAACAGTTATGATTATCTGGTGAATGCAAAATGTTCAAGTAAATGGACGAATTTCTTGAAAATCAATATGTCCATAAATAATTATAAATTTGAATAATGACTCACTTGTATCATATAAATATAATGATGTATCATTTAAGGTTCACGCTGTATATATAGACTGAAAGTTGTATTATTTTGTTGTATGATTTTTGTCATTGTTAACAGATTGAGGCATTACCTGAGATTGTAAAAGCTGTAGGAAACAAAGTTGAGATCTATCTTGACGGTGGAATCAGAGACGGAACTGACGTCTTCAAAGCTTTGGCTATGGGTGCTAGAATGGTTTTCATGGGGCGGCCCGCTTTATGGGGTTTGGCCCATAGCGGCGAAGAAGGAGTCAAGAAAATTCTGACTATTATAAAAACTGAGTTTGATTATGCTCTTGCCATATCAGGTAGAACTGTTTTTTTTTCGTCCATAATACAATAAGTTCTTATTTCATTATCTGTTTTAGGTTGTGCTAATATCAGTGATATAAAGCCCTCTATGGTAGTACATGAATCTTATTATTCTAGATTATAACAGGGTGGACAAAATGTAAAGTGAAAATTATGTAAATATGTTACCTACATTGATTATTACAGTTTTATATATGTACCTTCATTATTGTAATATAGATGATATGTCTCACGCAATGTGTTTATATGTATATACATATAAGGTATATATACCTACTAGTAAACACGGTCATTGGTATATAAATGGTTATATATGTCTAACTTTGAGTGGGGGTCATATTTATCAGAGGCTTCCTTTGACCTTTAGTGACACGATATTTTATTTAAAAAAAAAACCTCAAAACTTAATTTTTTTAACCTTATTTCTTTAGTAATATTCGTACCCCGCCGCTGGACAAGCTACTGTAACCTCAAATAACGGCGCGCTTTAGTCGCAGCGCAGCGCATGCACAGTTCCATACCATTTGCCGCGAGTTACTTTAAGGGTTTTTTGGCGAGCCAATCCACATCAAACCCGGTTAGCTCGAGTTTGATTGTGTTAAGAGTTTGAGTTAACATTTGACAGAACTCGCAAAAATTCTTTTGGTTTGGATTTCTAATCAATAATAAAATCGTAACCTATAATCTATGATAGTGCTCGTAGCTCAAGTTGTTTAATTATTTCTTATATACTATAGTTGTTATTCCTAATCTGAAATGCACATCCATGAAATAACGTTAATGTATAGATGGTTATTAAATCAAAATGGGTTTACCTTGTTCACAAATATTATCTATTCCAACGCAAATGTATCGTCTAAACGGAAGTTAATAAAGATCTATACAGTACAATATAGAAAATGCTACTACTAAACTACGATTAGTTATTGGGATCCTCGATTACTATTTTTTTATTATCAATTTTAAATATTACTTTGTATTTTTTGCAAAGTGATCCATTACCCAATTTTTTTTATTTACAACATACCTATCCAAACCTCTAAAAAAACGAAGTAGTGACTAGGTACGATGATACGAAACAGAAAATAAATAAACAAAGATAGAAATATTAACTTAATATCCAAACCAACCCACAAGTCCGGTTTGATGGTTAGGCAAACTCTGCCAAACCGGGTTAACTACATTTCTCGCCAAGACGTCAAACCGCAACAAACTATAGTTAACCGGGTTAGCGGTTTTCTCGCCAAAAAACCCTTTTTTGTTGAGTTGGTGTTCGGCAGTCAAACAGTACTTAACAAGTAACCTAGCGAAAAACTCAAGCAGTAATCAATAATAATAAATTAAATACAACTGACCCCCCCCGCTACGTCACTGTTGACCCGCACTATCACCCTTCACAAGTACTGTATAGGTTGCCTATAAAATTTATGTATTGGTAATACCACACTACAAGTATGTGGGTAATACATGAATATTAGCGTGGCGGCGGGCGTATACAAATATGAAAGTGCATTTTAAAAAACTAATAACTAGACTATTTATCTGATTAAAAAAAAGAATTTCAAATTCGTATTCAGGGGAACATGTACTATTACTCCTAAAATCAAAAACTGACCCCCACTTAAAATTGCAACCTGTATGCCGCAATTCCTGTGTTTGCTGGGTCTTTATTTATTTTCTTGTATTTTCAAATTTTTGGTCTAAATTGGAAAATTATTCATATAATTTGCATTTATTTTGAAAAATATTATTCTTTTCGCATGTATTAGCATCAATCCTCACCAACACTAGAGTTTATATGGTGAGCTGTTTGAAATACAGCGCATGGAGTTTATTATTTACCACTGATCACTGATCTGTATTAAATTAAGTCAATGGATACTACTTTTAGTGCGCCATCTTGCGTTAGAGCTCGCTATGGCCTCATAAAAAGCTAATTTCATGACAAGTTTTAGTAATTTTTGTTGGCCTGTCAAAAAATAAAGTTACTAAATACAGCTCCAACTTCGTGTTATTCAACAACTGAACATGGCGAGCTGTTTCTTGTGAGCCACGCAAAATGTGTTTAGAAGTTATTCTCCCATTAAATTATTTCAATTTGTAGTTGTAATAAGTGAGTGTATTAACAATGACTTCATTACAGTATGTAGTGCACCCTTTGCCAGGAAGCGAAGAACAATTTAATGACAGGTAAAACGGTTAAGCAATGCAATGATTTGATCACAGGCTTCCTCCATTTTCGAGTAAAACGTTGTATTACTTAAAAATGGAGAACCAAGAGATTGATGGACATACCACTCCCAGATTCTTGTCATTCCATAAGAAAATTTCTGGAATTTTCTTTCGTTTTTTCTAGAAAATTTTGTTACTTCATTTTTATATTACTGGGATAATGCCCATGACTTTAATATTTTAGTATGCAAAAAACAATTTATATCTCGTATAATTAAAACATTGATTTGTAAAAGTTTTTCAAGATTTAATAACGTTTTCATAATCCATTAATAATAATTGAACTTCAGAACTCACTAGTTAAATCGTAATCTCCCGAAACTTTTTTTTCAGATTAAAAGAAGTAGCAGATAGAATTAATCGTCTTGGGCATAATATACACCCCGGATTGGCAAGTTTACGTACCAGTGTTAAGCGTATATGTCTTGGTTCGACATATATAGTATTACTTTTAGAAGATGGTCGTATTTGTCGCGTCTCTTACAATGTGTTATCGGACCGATTAGATTTGAGCAAAAATGATTCTAATAAAAAGTGAGTTTCCGATTTACTACTTTAATTACTGCAGTAAAAGTTATGAATATCACATTGACATTAGCTTTTTTTAATCATTTATGAGTAATGAAAATATTTAATTCATGATGTTTCCGTTATCAGTTTTTAATTTAGTTTGCAGTCATTTGTTAGATACTTATTTATGCATATTTCTAATATGGAGTCTCTGTCAAAGAAATATTGATGGCCATATTGCCAGTGACTTGAAGTTGTTCATTGAATTGGTTAGAATATATATATATTTTTTATTAATGTTCCATGCTGTGCATTTTGTAATCATTTTCAATCAATATTTTTTTAAATTTCTGTATTGTATGATTACATATGCTGTTAAAAAAAATTACAGTGAAAATCGGTTATCACGACCTTCAAGGGAAAGTTTGTTTACGGTTGTTATAACCGATAGACGTATTAAACAATTTCATATATTTACAATGCAAGTCTTTAAGTATGTACAAGGTCGGAAAGTCCCCATGGTTCATCGGCTGTTACGTGAGAGCGATAAAGAAAGTCATAGAAATCTGTGCGATAGAGAAAGATGGCTATAATGAAGAAATAAGATCCGGATCTTATTTGTGGAAGGGCGAAATGGGCGGTGACTATTAGACGCCTTCATTATAGCCATCTTTCTCTATCGCACGGATTTCTATGACTTTCTTTATCGCTCTCACGTAACGGCCGATGAACCATGGGGACTTTCCGACCCTGTATATGTTTATTTCTATACTTCCATATTGTTAAAATCGTAGTGTGACACGCCACCAGCGTTGCCAGTTTTTTTCGGGCAAAGCGGGATTTTGAAACTTTTTGAGTAAAAAAGTGGGATTCTTTCATCGAAGAAAAAAACGTATATAATCAATAGTTTACTTATGCTTTTATTTGAGTTTCAAATTAAATTTACATGAAGATAACCAAAATTGCAAAAGAAAATATATCTTAATGAAAATGTGTAACTTTACTGTACTCTAATAATCTAATAATCTCTAAAAAGCAGGACTGAGCCTATCCTGCGCGGGACATTTAATTTCAGGCTAAAAATCAGGACGTCCCTCCAAAATTGGGACGTGTGTCACCGCTGCACCCCACATTTTTTTGCTTGCTTGCATTAGTTTCTCCGTTTTCTAGTCTATATTATATGTGATTTTTCATTATTAAACACTTTTTTCTTCGATATCATGATAGAGAGTGGTAATTAATACATATAATATAACTGTATGCTTAGATACATGTCGTAATTTGTCCCAAACATACTAACTGGTGTCAAAAGCATAGATGCCGGCGGGGCGAGCGGAAGAGTGGTGCATCGATTTTAAGGCCCTATATCATTATTAGTCGTTATAACTGATAAATTGTATGGTAAATGTATATAAAAATGAGTTGCTAAATCAGAAATGTCGTTGTAAACGGTGTCATAGTAAACGATATTTTTAATATGGTATTTCTGTAGGGTTTAATCGGGACTTTCAAATTCCGTCGTTATGTCCAATAGGTCATATAAAGCAATGTCATTATAACCAATTTTCGCTGTATTTTTATAGAAAAAAACTAAGTGTAAAATTTATATAGTAAGTAGCAAATTCCCGTCTTAATAAAAAATTTTCCCAACCAAGATCTTGGTTGTTGCGCAGTTCTGGAGGAGGTGGAGGTGGTGGAACTGGAGGTTCCGGAAGTGGTAGTGGAGCAGGAGGAGGAGGGGGTAATAATAAGCCAACTGGAAGTGGAAGACAGATCCGAACTCGAGCTAGAATAATGAGATCCAACACAGCTATTCGAGGAGGCAGCAATAGCGGTGAGTCATAAATTTGTATATAGGTTTAATTAATGTTGATAAATGTCGGAGAATTTTTGAGCTCAGATGTGAATTTTACAAAATTAATCACAATTTGCTCTATATTACGATAAATTGAATAAACATTTAATTCAATGAAGTCTGTTACTATTATTCGTTACTATTGCCTAATCGATAAGGGAAGATTGACAAAGGCAGAAAATAGATTTACACAGTCCAGATTGCTGTTTGGTAGCGTGCAAGCAAGAAAAATTTAGAGAAAATGTCCATAAAAGTTTTCCTTTTGTGTTCCTAAAGATAATGTTCCTGCACAATGTTTTTTTTTTGTGTGTGAGTATGTGAACATGTGCTAATACTTTTAAGCAAGTGTTGACAACATTCTAACCTTTACATGAGTAATAGCAGTTTCACATAGTCACAAAAATTGACAAACTTTTAACCTTGAATTAATTGTTATGAGTAATACCTACACCAAATGGGGTGATTGCATTAAAAAAGAATATAGCGTTTTATCACTGAATATTATTCTACAATGAATGTTAATGAGATTAGGGTGGCCCAAAAAAAACAATATATTTTTTCGTGTTGTGAAAATATGTTAATTTATCATGTTTTAAGAGCCCCCTCAAAAATCAGCTCAAAAAAAAAAAAAAAAATTTAGAGGTCGCTCAAGATGTTTAAAAATTTCCAAAATTGTCAAAAATTGAATTTTTTTTTTTTAATTTTTTTCTCGTTATTTTATCATTTTCTAGGTTGAAAAAAATCTTGATTCTGAAAATTTCAAATCGATATTTTAATTTCTAAAAGCCACTCATAATTATTTTAACTTTAAAAGTAATGTACCCAAAATGTTTTTGAGCGACCTCTAAAAATAAATATCAACGAACTAATAATTTTTTTTATTGAATTTGATGAACAAAAGAATAGAAATAAATCATGACATTTAAAAAATTTCTCGAGGCAAAATTCACTATCGCACCGAGTATCAAAAAATTTATAATTTTTAAATTTTTTAAAATTTAAGTGTCGTGATTTATTTCTATTCTTTTATTCATCAAATTCAATAAAAAAAAATTATTAGTTCGTTCATATATATTTTTTAGGGGTCGCTCGAAAACGTAGGTACACTACTTTGAAAGATAAAATAATTTATGAGTGACCTTTAGAAATTAAAATATCGATTTGAAATTTTCAGAATCGAGATTTTTTTTCAACCTAGAAAATGATAAAATAATGAGAAAAAAATAAAAAAAATCAATTTTTGACGATTTTGGAAATTTTTAAAATTTTTGAGCCACCCTAGATAAGCAATTTCTCTTAAAACTCCTTGCACAATTTTTTTATTTGATTTTAAATATTTTAATTTAAACCGAACGTCATTGTTATCAACTTGTGACGTATTAGATTATGGACATTGTTATTATTTAACTCCTTCCTCTCTGTGTTCCTATTAGGTAAATAAAAGAAGTCAAAATGTCTGCCAAATTTGTTTGTTTTATTATTTTTTTAATTTCCACAATGATTTTATACAAAATTAAAACAATACATGGCAAATTTTTTGTCACGTTATTTAATTTTTTTTTAATATTTGAAAAAGTGGCAAAAACCCTATTGTCATCAATTTGTTGACAACAATATATACATATAGAAATTGTAAGACTACTTTGTAGGCGGGAGCACAAATGGCTCCATCTGTCGTGCGGACTCCCAACTGTGCCATTCAAATGGCTACAGTAGGGAGCGACCTGCTAACGGCCCCTACTGGCATTGAATTATACTCGCAACACCTAGTGCAACAGCTAGGATTGTTTGTCAGTTTAACCCACCAGGCACAGATCAGTTTCGGACTTATTAGTCCTCACCAGTGTGTCATAGGTGTGACAACCGACAAACGACTCGGCTGTTCTTCGACAATGCTATTCCCGTATGTTCCCGCATACAATGTATTTCCTTGTCGTGACGATACGACGAAGAACAGCTGGGTTGTTTGTCGGTTGTCGCACCTATGACACACTGATGAGGACTAATAAGTCCGAATCCGGTCTGTGCCTGGTGGGTTAACCTGACAAAACGATCCTAGCTGTTGCACTAGGTGTTGCGAGTATAATTCAATGCCGGTAGAGGCATGTAGCTCTCGGAGTAGCTGTTTCTCGCAACACTGACACTTCAAATATAAGGTTACTGTTTTGGGATATTTTCATTATCATTTTTATTTTCAATCTGGTGCTATAAAAGAAGTGGAAGGTACAATATAGTATTGTAAATAACCTCAGAGATTAACATTATTAGTAGGTATCAAACAAATATCACTTCAAAGTTGACCCTACTAACATTTACACATGATATTCTTCATATTCCAAACTTGGAGAATTTTTTTTGGAAAATATTAAGAAAACTTATTTTACTTCACTGTTAATCTGTGATTCCTGGACCATAGAGTAGGTCCTCTGTGGTACTGGTAGCATCTTCTGCAGCGATCCGTGACTGCCTTCACTGAATCCTCCTTTTACGGATCACTTCATGAGTTTTTGACTTCAGCATTATACATTTTCTATCTCGCAATGCTGATCAGCGTTTCTTCCTACCATGATGCCCAATGCATTCCAGTAATTCGCCCATAACTTCCACAATTATCAGAATTTCAATATAAAATTTATGCACAATATTGTTAAGACTGCAAACTGTAAGATATCGAAAAAAACATTTTTTTCTACTCGATAAAATAAGTAACATCTTTAGGCGTTGTCCTTTGCAACAATTAACTATCTTTGAATTTACAATTCTATTAATTTTATTAATAAAATTCATCATTTTGTGAAGTGTATTGAAATGCCTTCATATCAATTATATTTTGTATTCAATTTTGCATCTGGTAATCTTTGGCTTTATCATTTTGAAGAGATAATAATAAACCCATAAAAGAAATTATGAATTGAATTTATTATTAAAGTATCGCGTTCATGGTCTATATTTTGATCGCGCAGGTAGCCGTGGTGCTCCCGTTATCATAGGAACCAGTAGCTCAAGTAGTGGAAGACCTATGGTTACAGTTCCGGCACCCTATGTTCCAGAGGAACTAGTATCGCAAGCTCAAGTCGTTCTTCAAGGAAAAAGTAGGAATTTAATCATACGTGAATTGCAGGTATGCAGATTTTTATTTATTTTCTAAATATGTTCTACAATTTCTACGTTTACAGAGAACTAATTTAGATGTCAACTTAGCGGTCAATAATCTTCTATCCCGAGATGACGAAGAAGGCGAGGAAGGAGACGATGCCGCGGATTCTTATGTACCAGAAGATCTCATCTCATTACTCGACGGTGGTTTCCATACTGACCATTCAGTTATTATCGATGCCGATGCTATGTTTTCAGAGGATATGTTTGGTTACTCTGGTATCAGAAAGTAAGATTTTTTTTTTAAGTTTCTGTGTAGTATTTGTCTTTGCATTTTTGTTTATTGGGCTTTTTTTTTAAACCTTCCTCAACTGAAGTATTGACTTGTTGGATAAATTGGATTTATCTCTTAAAATCTAGTCTCCAAGGTGGTCCATTAGTGCGGCATAGTACTATAGCTGTGTTATTGTTTGTGGTACAAAAAAAATCAACGGTATCACGGAACTTTTCTTGTTTCCAAGAATACTAATCTGAAACTGTTTATTAAATAAAAATGAAAAGTGGATTTAATGTCACTGCTACAGAGCAGCTTCTGAACTTGGCTGTATCAGCACAATTATCAAAACTGGGAAATAACTTTGTGAAAACGGTTTGCTTTTGTATGACTTTGCGACATTATTTTAAAGGTGATATTTTTTTTTTGATATACATATACATTAAGCCTCAAACGTTAAAAAAATTTTGCATGATTTAATAAGTATTAATTAATATTGGCGTGTGGGCAGGCATGTATTACTAATTGTAAGTAAAACTAATTTATGGTTTAAAATTATTATTTTTGCTGTTTTATAAAATGCCTTTTTATTCATCATTTAATATTTTTCATAAAAAGTATTTCTTATTATTATTTTTAAAGCACTGTGTTTAGTTTGCGAATCTCAATGACAATGAATCCCATTAACCTAATTTAGGTGAACTACATAATATGATCACCTGTTTGTGATAGGACAACTGTATGCTAGATGGGCAAAAGCAAAGAGCCTAAATTCAGCAGTTGAAGTTTGTAGGCTTAGGAGAATTTGTTTGTAGTAATATGGAAATTTTGCAACTTTCTGCAAGAATTATTAGTATTTACTGGAATCGAAAAAAAAACTTGTGTAGTGCAGTGTTGGTTTCAATTGTAAATTTAAAGTGGTATTTTGTGAAGTGACGTGTAGTGTACGTGTATAATGTGATAAAAAAGAGAAAAAAACTTATACGAATCAAGAAAAGTGAAATTTAAACTGTGCTTGCCTTGGCTCCAAATTGGGTGTATGCTCTTGGCTAGCACGTGCTGTTATTTAAGTTTAAAAACAAAAATAACTTTTTAGGGCGGAATTTGAGAAAATAAACTTACATGTGTTTTAAAATTAAAAAACAGCGTTTTTAAAAATATGACACTCGGTTCAAAGTTATATATTTTTTTAAAGTTATTTTGAAATACCGGAGTGTGATAATAATTGTCTTTTTTCTTTAGATTTCCACATTGAATTTGTCATTTGAAATTCTGCTTGTGGTAGCATAGTTTTATATTCTATTGCTCTGTTGCCAAGTTGTATAGTTTATTCTTTGAATTTTGTCAAAAACGTGACCTATTGAGACATAATAGTAATTATCGGAGTCAAAAAATTACATCTGGATATTTGATTGTGTTGAAAGACAAAAGTTAGCCAATTAGACATTAATTAGTGTTTTTTTCTTTATTTATATCCCAACTTTACAAATTTCGATTGACCATAATTTTTAATATGAATCACCCACTATTGAAGTGCCCCATTTTATACACTTTATTCTCATTAACTTTTATTAAGATATTTCTATGTTGCACAGTTAAACATTTTAATTTTAATGGAACATTTATTCTGCAAAATTTATAAAATTTTCTAATAATTTGAGGTTTTGAGACAGATTCAAACATGTAAAAATATATACAGGCTGTTACAAATTCTTTTCTCACTACATGGATTTCGAAAACAGTAAGAGATACGAACTAGCTTAAATAGGGGCAAAGTTGCGTAATCAGGGGACCAACATTATGCCTCCAAAAAATGAAGGCTAGCATGATTAGTTTTTGAAATATTTGAAAAAAACCGAAATTTTGGAAATCCGTTTTTGTTTCATTTCAGCTTTGTTTGAGGCTATATTGAAAAAAGAAGAACACTTTCTCATGGCCACTTTTTGCCCTCTATCAAGTGACATAATCAATTTTTATATGTAACTTTTTGTTTCTCCAGGGCCATCATCAACTTTATTTTTTTAAATACGACCCTGGAAATTTTATTACATTTTTTGCAAGCCTTCATGACCCCCAATACTGTACTGCCTCAGCCCGAACCAGATTCAGACGTTTTGTCTCGAAAAATTCTCCAAATTTATCTAAATTTTTTATTTAGATTTCTTTGTTTATTGAATTATCGTACTCTGTAAGTGTCGTTAGACCCTGTTAAATCCATCTAGTTATTTAAACTTACCACCACGCAATAAAATAAAACATTAGAGTTTTATTCCCGTGTCCATAGTTATTTGTAGGCTTCTCGAGTGCTCAAAACTCGAACAAATTCCGATCAATTTTTTTTTAGGATTCATACAAATACATCTGACATGCTCTTTCACAGTTGCGGTTACAGAAATCTTTAAATTCCGATAATACTACGTTGATTTTAATTTTCAACCTTTGGCAAAACGAAAATGTTTTTGAACATTTACTGAAATTTTTTAAAGTATTATATTCCGTTGGCGTTTTGGTTATTCATATGCATTTTTAAGAATTAATTTGTCATAATAAAATTAAAATTGAAATAATGTTTTAATTTTGTCGCAACAACTTATTGTTTTGTGTGATCAAGTGGTGGTAATAGTTAATAATAATAAATGTTTTATTGTAACGTGTGGTGGTAATAGTTTAAATAACTAGATGGATATCACAGGGTCTAACGACACCTACAGTGTACGATAATTCAATAAACAAAGAAATCTAAATAAAAAAATTTAGATAAATTTGGAACGAATACACTGAAGATGAATTTTTCGAGACAAAACGTTTGAATCTAGTTCGGGCTGAGGCAGTACAGTATTGGGGGTCATGAAGGCTTGCAAAAAATGTAATAAAATTTCTAGGGTCGTATTTAACAAAATGAAGTTGATGATGTTCCTGAAGAGACAAAACGTCACATATAAAAATTGATTATGCCATTCGATAGAGGGTAAAAAGTGGCCATAAGAAAGTGTTCTTCTTTTTTCAATATCACCTCAAACAAGGCTGAAATGAAACAAAAACGGATTTCCAAAATTTCGGTTTTTTTCAAATTTTCGAAAATTAAACATGCTAGCTAGATTTTTTAGAGGCATAATGTTGGTCCCCTGATTTCGCAACTTTGCCCCTATTTAAGCTAGTCTGTATCTCTTACCATTTCCGAGATCCCTGTAGTGAGAAGCGAATTTGTAACAGCCTGTATAGAGTGTTCCATTTTGATCATCACATTTTCATACATTACCCTGTATATTTGAAATTACAGCTTTCTTTATTCCCATTAATTTCAGTGTACATATTTTTTTTGTATTTCTAATAATACGTTATTTTACTTTGCCATACTGACCATATAAGTACCTTATATTATTTTGACTAAAAATTTAAAATTTTTAAGGTAAAAGTTGACACTTAAGTATATAAAAAAATAATGCCTTCATGTATATTTCTGGGTTATTTTTTATTTTTTACGTTTTTTTTTACAAAATAGTATTATTTTTATTTTATTTTGTTGTCAAGTCCACACTTGCCATACTGACCATATAAGTACCTTATATTATTTTGACTAAAAATTTAAAATTTTTAAGGTGAAAGTTGACACTTAGGTATATAAAAAAATAATGCCTTCATGTATATTTCTGGGTTATTTTTTAGTTTTTACGTTTTTTTTTACAAAATAGTATTATTTTTATTTTATTTTGTTGTCAAGTCCACACTTCTGCATAGATCCAAAAAATTATATAATAATTTTCAAATCCCTGTTACAATAAAGTTGTGTTTAGTTGGTCTGCTTTTCTTTAATTTTCATTTTTTTGACTAACTTTTGTTTGAAAATGTTTGACTTTGCTCAAACAAGCTTCCTTAACAGTCGTGGCAGCAGTAGTCGTAGTCGGATGCCAGATCGCGATGCTCCACCCAACAACAGCGCGAGCTCTGACCGCGATCGAGAGAACTTTTCCCGATGGAGGGACAGGCAGTACTTTGGACCAAGACGTTGGTTAGAAACGGCACTGAGGGACAACCCGTATGAGAAAGACTCAGGTAAAAATAATCAATTTGGTTAATATTGATATTACTGCTGTAATTCTTTGAATTATTGATTTAAAATAAATATGCACATCAAATGTAACGATATCATGTTACAAAAACAGATCACAAGAAAAAGGACAACGCGTGCCCATTGTGGATTTCGGACGATCTTGAATTCTGGCCAGAACCCGCTCCTAAGTTTGTCCAGATTGCCACCCTATACAGCGAACTGATTGCTCTTTCCGTGAATGGGCAGCTTTACCAATGGAAATGGAATGACCACGAACCCTATAGACATCCCGAAAATCCCAACATTCATCATCCTAAAACGGTCACACTTGGATTGGCCGGAGAAAAAATCACTCATATCTCTGCATGTTCTATTCGATGCACTGTGGCTACTGAAACTGGGAAAGTTGCTACTTGGCTCGATGAATTATTGTCCCCTGCTGCTAACAAACTTGAACATTCTGCTCAGGCCTATAATGAGTTTCAAACCGATAAGATTACTGCTTTGTACACCTGTCCGATCTATACTGTTGCGAGATTGGAAAGCGGCAGTCTTTATTGGTGGTAAGTTGAAAATTTCCTGCTTTTGAGAATTCGTCTAATTTAACCTGCGTTTTAGGGGAGTTCTACCGTTTGCTCAACGTAAAAGGTTATGGGAAAAGTACAAAGCTAAGTCTAGGAAGCAGCGTCCACCAAACAACCAAGCCGAAATCGTCACTGGATCCCAGGTGTGCATGAAGAACAGCCCTATGTACCAACCGGGCGCTATTGGTTTTACGGTTGCAGCCGGTGTTCCTAAAGTTGGACAAATTCAGACTGCCGCTTGGACCTTAAACGACATTGGTATATTTAAGGTTGTAAATGTCCACAGTTCTAGCAATACTGAAAAGAGTCGTTCTGATTCAACTCCTACAGCTAGCGGATTGGGTAAGTTTATTATTTCCCTAAGTATTTATCCATGAAGAGATAAATTGAAATCTGGATGGGCTCGCACACAATCTCTCAGAATTTTGAAATGCAAATTTTTTTCTAAAAACATTTATCCTCGGTAAGAAAACCGGCCCTGGGTTGTTGAAAGAGAAAACTATAAGTCAGGGAAAACCTGGAAAAGTCAGGGAATTCTTTATTACTTTTGAACTATGAACCCTGTAATATGAATATTCTATGTCCAACTATGGCAATTGACAACTGTCGAGCAGAAAAATTGGTCATTTTAAATATTCATTGGTAATTTTTGGATGTTACCCATTACTGACTTTGGTCATTTTGGTCACATTTGATAAATGACTGCCATCATTAATAAAAAAATTTGATATATAGAGTTGTGGAAAAAAAATGAACCCATATGATTCCTATCACATCACAAATTACATAGTTTTTTCAATTTTTCCACTTCTCGACACCAGTTTTATTTATTTTGTGTTTTCATATCTTTCTTTATATTTGGAGCGAGAGCCTACCTCACATACCAAGCTTCACTCAATTCACTCATTAGGCTATTGATTATAGGATTTTAAAAGGAACTATGACATTCAAGATATTTAATTACATGAATCGTTCAAATGGTCATTTTAGATGAAAAAAACGCGGAGTGCTATTAAATTAGAGGGTGGAAATTGGAGATGGGGTGAAAATGCACCCCGTTCAGTTTTTCAATTGTAGCTCGAAAACGAAGCAAAATTTCACTAGTTCACAGGAAAAATTATTTAGAGAATTGAATTTCCCTTCGAAATGGCTTATTTAAAAAATTTAAAAGGAAAATTTAATTCAAAAAATCGTTAATAAACAATTTGAAAAAAAGCAAAAAATTCGTTTTTATAATTTTTTTTACATTTTTGACTAAATTTTGAAAATCTTTATTTATTATCAATAAATAAAAATTGAAATAATTTTTTAGTAAGTAGAGAACCAATTTGTTGTAAAAATAATAAGAATTATAATCATTATTATGTTAAAAATGACGAAAATCTAAAAAATATTTAAGTTTGACCGGTTATAACTGTCAATATTAGTCCAAAAACTTTTGAAAACGCATCATTTTGAAGGGAATCTCATCTAGTTTTTTTGTACAGCAATTTTCTTTGTGTACTACTAAAGAAAAAAATTGGTCAAAAAAGAAAAAAAAATCAAAACTTATGTTTTGCTTTTTTAAAATTGTTTATTAACGATTTTTTGCATAAAATGTTTCTTTTACATTTTTTAAATAAGCCATTTGGATGGGAAATTCAATTGTCTATAAAAAATTTTCAACCTTCTAATCATGTGATGAAAATCCTTGAACGTCTTATTTCCCCCCTTTTTTGCAAAAAATGAGAATTAAAGGGAATATTGGTACGCGACGAAAATTGAAAAATTGGTTAATTGTAAGTTTGAGCGACAGTCAATTTTCATCCAAAAATACTTTACCTCTTATTTTGAAGGAAATTTTACCTACTTTTTTTTCTATGAAGTAATGCGTATACCTATATTTACTCAAAAAAAAAACTAGAGGCAAAAAAGTAAAAAAAAATAAAAAATCTATTTTTTTGTTTTTTTTTCAAATCGTTTTAACGATTTTTTGCAAAAAATTTCCTTTTAAATTTTTTAAATAAGCCATTTCGATGGGAAATTCAATTCTCTAAATAATCTTTCCTATGAATTAGTGAAATTTTGCTTCGTTTTCGAACTACAATTAAAAAACTGAAAGGGGTGCATTTTCACCCCTATCTCCAATTTCCACCCTCTAATAGTTCTCCGCGTTTTTTTCATCTAAAATAACCCTCTGAACGATTCATGCAATAAAATTACTTGAACATCATAGTTCCTTTTAACCCTGTTTTTTTGGATATAATCAATAGCCTACATATTTTTATAAAAAAAACGTGGCGGTGACCGCAAATTTCTGTATGAAGGTAGTACAAGCATTGATGTTAAGGCAATAAGACAATGATTAATTGAAGCTATCACTTAGTTGTAATAATATTATTTCCTTATGTAAAATTTAAAATTTTGTTTAAAAAAACAACACATCTAGATATCGCACTTTCGATGTTTACAAAAACAAAATTTTTAAAATCTAAAAGGATCATTAAACTTTTATAAAAAAAAATTGAGATAAAGAAATATCTTTTCAAATTTCTAATTTTCTCACAGTACTGTAACATTTCGTCATTAATACTATATTGCATAGTAATTATTCTGTATAAAATAATCATGTATTTTGGTGTATATAAACTCAGAATATCCATTATATTCTAACAAAAAATGATGTTCCTACACCGCATCTTAGATAATGATGTCTTTATAAAGATATTGGTGGGCATTCTCAAATAAGAAAAACCAAATTTTTCAATTATCTATTTTATTTTTTTTATCATAGAAAAAGATTTTTTAAACTGTTTTTCTGTATTTTCTGATTTTATTATTATTTTTTTAATTTATATTTTTGTTTCTTTATGTGAATTGATCCTTTCCAAATTTTTGTATGCGGCCCATTTAAACAAATAGAACTGTATTTTAAAAGTCTCATAATTATTGTGATGAAAACTGCTAAATCCTGACGACTTTCTCATGGAGTGTAACCGATTAGTCTTTCTGACATCTTATATTAATATGAAAAAATTTTTCCTTTTACTTTTTTTTCCCTAAAGTTACCTACATTTTCAGCGAATTTGGGCGGTAAATCTTCATCTAACAAAGAAAATACCGATAGACTTGACATGCCCCCACCGCCATCTCCGGCGTCCAGTACTTGTAGTGATACTGGCAGTATCACCAATAGTCACAGTAAGTACAAAACGTTAAGCGATATATATGTACTATCTTAACTGCCTTATTTTTAAATTTGCAGAACGTCAGAAGAGACATGTCGTGACTTGTTCCGATTCCAACAGCGAGCCCAAGAAAGACGAAGAAGAATGGTTGCTGAGAGACGTGATTTTTGTAGAAGACGTGCGGAATGTCCCCACTGGCAGAGTTTTAAAGATTGACGGAGCCTATGCAGCTGTTCGATTCCCAACTACGCACACTAGAGACAGGGATTCTAAAGATGCCGACGACATATTGCAAGATTGTCGACTAATGAGAAAAGATGATTTGCAAGTGGTAAAGTCTTCTTCGATATCCCGTGTCCCAGATTGTTTCCAGAGAACTCCTAGAAGGGTCCAGATTTCGGAAACTGCTGGACAAATTCTAACCATCGCCGTCGACGGGCAGGGAATACACGCGATTGTCAGAAATGGTTCCAAGTTGAGTTACGTTCTGTACAACATCAGCACCGGCCGCATTGAACAAGAGAACCCTTTCCCAAGCGACACCGCTGCCTTTATGGGTCTATACCCGTCACACGTCAGCCTGACTTGCGCTGGAGAGGTATGTATTATCAAATTAAAAATAATAAATATTTTACAAGTTTCATTGTTTATTTCAGAGCAGCGAAACGGTACTTATCCTCCGTGACGGCAACAATGCCATCTATCCTCTAGCCAAAGACTGCGCGGATGCCATCCGAGATCCTCAATTTCTAGATCTACCTCCGATTAAGTGTCTCACGGCCGGCACCCTCGCTCTGTCCGGCACCAGCCTGAACATGAAGAACCAAGTAGCCATTGTTGTTTTTGCCTTGGAACAGCAGCTTTTGATGCCTAAGATATTGCGATGCGATATCGAAGGGGTGCGACAAGTTCTGGCACAGCTAGACAGTGAAATGAGTAAGTGATCTATTGAGAGGAGTTTTGATTAATTCCTAATAAAAATATTTTTTAATAGAATCGGTTAGTTTGATGATTCCCTCGATTATAAACGAGAGATGCGACGGTAATAGAAACATCTTCCATGCTGTCGTGAACATGTGTACGCCGACTTCCAATAAAGATGTGGATAATGGTAAGTAATTTTGTTTGTTGAAGCGTAATCGGCTATATCAAGTCGTCTTTGTGATGCTAGTCTATCGATTGTGCTGAATTTCATTAAAAGATTCTACAATTGTTTAACTTTATTGGCATAAGAATCCTGTGATGTGGCTATCTAAAAAGAAATGTTAAATTATGTTTCCAATTTTACAAGATAATTTACGGTTTCAACGCATAACGTCCCTCAGACCTTCCTTTATCTAATAGGCATATTTTGTTCGATATTTTTTCACATTTTCCAAGGTAAATTTTCATGTAGAAAAACTTTGCTGAAACTAGACTTTTCTTTGTGGGGCAAGTGTCCAAAGTATACAGGCTATTACAAATTCGCTTCTCACTACAGGGTCCTCGGAAACGGTAAGTGGTTCGAAGTAGCTTAAATGGGGGGAAATTTTGAAAATACGTTTTTGTTTCATTTCAGCCTTGTTTGAATGGCATAATCAATTCTTGTATGTAACGTTTTATCTCTCCTTCATCAATTTTTTTAAATGCGACCCTGGAAATTTTATTACATTTTTTGCAAGCCTTCATGACCCCCAATACTGTACTGCCTCAGCCCGAACCATATTCAGACGTTTTATCTCGAAAAACTCATCTTCATTGTATTCGTTCCAAATTTATCTAAATTTTTTTTTAGATTTCTTTTATTGAATTATCGTACACTGTAAGTGTCGTTAGACCCTGTGAAATCCATCTAACTATTTAAACTATTACTACCACAAATTAAAATAAAACCTTATTAGAGTTTTATTCCCATGTCCATAGTTATTTCTGGGCTTCTTTAGAGCTCAAAATTTAAACAAATTCCGATCTATTTTTGTCAGGATAATCATACAAATACATCTGACATGCTCTTTCACAGTTGCAGTTACAGATATAATAAATTCTGATAATATTACGCTGATTTTCATTTTTAACCTTTGCCAAAACGAAAATGTTTTTGGACATTTACTGAAATTTTTGAAAGAATTCAGTTTGCGTTTTGGTTGTCCATATGCATTTTTAAGAATTAATTTGTCATAATAAAATTAAAATTGTAATAATGTTTTAATTTTGACGCAACGACTTATTGTGTGTATCACCAAGAGATGATAATAGTTAATAATAATAAATGTTTTATTGTAACGCGTGGTGGTAATAGTTTAAATAACTGGATGGATTTCAAAGAGCCTATGACACTTACAGTGTACGATAATTTAATAAACAAAGAAATCTAAATAAAATGATGATAAATTTGGAACGAATACACTGAAGATGAATTTTTCAAGATAAACGTGTGAATCTGGTTCGGGTAAAGGCAGTACAGTATTGGGGATCATGAAGGCTTGCAAAGAATGTAATAAAATTTCCAGGGTCGTATTTAAAAAAATGAAGTTGATGATGGTCCTGGAGAGACGAATCGTTACATACAAAAATTGATTATGCCATTCAGTAGAGGGCAAAAAGTGGCCATGAGAAAGTGTTTTTCTTTTTTCAATATCACCTCAAACGAGGCTGAAATGAAACAAAAACGGATTTTCAAATTTTCGTTTTTTTTCCAATATTTCGAAAACTAATCGTGTTGGCCTTGATTTGTTAGAGACATAATGTTGGTCCCCTGATTACGCAACTTCGCCCCCATTTAAGCTACTGCGTACCTCTTACCATTTACGAGATCCCTGTAGTGAGAAGCGAATTTGTAACAGCCTGTATACAATGTTTGGACGATACATCGAAACAAACGTCAGCGAAAATGTCAAAATAAATTTCACACTTGGAGCAATTGCGGGCATTTAAGGCTGGAATGGAAGAAATTAATTTAAGAATTCTAGAGTTTCATTTATCAAATCCCGGATCCCGGAAAGTTTATGTAGAATATATTTCACAAAATCAAATGGGTTTGAATCGCTGGTAGAACACTTTTTGACTTTATTTATCGAAACCTTGTTGTAAGTTGTACAGTGTCTTCATAAATGCCTGAGTTCAACGTGACCGTGACTGTTAAGCGACCACTTATACTGGAGGCAATGATTAACACAAAATTACCTAAAGACAGAGGATAGTCCAGTGGAGTACATATTACATTTCTTTACAAACATTTGATTTTAATTAGGGCTTGCAATCCCGCAATGAATTGAAAATCCCGATACTTGCGGCACTTGACGTTAAAATCCTGCGGGATCTCGGTATAAACGGGATCCCGCGATAATATGATTTATTATAGTATAATACCTAAATTTTTTATATAAAACAAGTATAAAATTAAACTTCTATCATTTATTTTCAATGTATCAAAAAAATGTTCTTTTTTGAAAACCAAACATAAATAATTATGCAGGTTAGGCTGTATTACGCACTCCAACACAGCTTAAGATGTATTTAAATATGAAATAACGAAATTAATATCGATTGAAAAAATTATTTATTTTTATTTATTGGTTTTGCTGAAACTATTTCTGAAGAAAACAATATATTTGCGCTGTGGTCTGATAAGGACCTCCGTATGTCATTTACTAGATAATCGGCAGCAGGAAAAGTTCTCGACACTTATTGGGGTTACAGATTTTGGACAAATATAGGCTAGTTCTAGATACTTTCCTCTAGAAGTCTAGAACATATACGTTAATTATTCTGTAACAGATTACCACCATTAACAAAGAAGAAAACAAAGTTATTTTGTGCGTCGTGGTCGGGCCAGGTGTGAAATCAACGACGCCAAACGGACGCGACGGGATCCGAATATTTCAAAATTGGTGCGGGATCTCATTATTTCGGGATCCCGGTCTACCGGGATTGCAAGCTCTAATTTTAATCTGCAAAATATATTCTTTTCAATAAAAAAAAATTACATTTTTTACCTACAAAATAATCACTCTTAATTTTGAATTTTTATCCCATTCCATATTGAAAAATATTTTTTGATTGAAAAAGGCTGTCCTTTTAAAAATATAGGCTCTTTTGTAAAAATGTATAATAGATGTTCAAAATGACCATTTTCATTTTTCAAACATAAAATACTGCATTTTATGAACTTGAAAATGCGTTCAAGTTCATTTGGTGTTATAATGTTTATTTCATGTTCAATTGCTGCTTCCAACTCTTCATGTGGGTGGAGAGAATGTTTAAATAACTTATTTTTGATATGGCCAAACATAAAAATCTAAAGGTGTGAAATCAGGACATCCAACAGGCCACAAAGCCCTAGTAATTAATTTGTCACCAAAAAATTCCTGGAGATATTTTAGTTTCAGCTGCAGTATGTGCTGCTACATCTTGTTGAAAATACCCATGTTGCAGTTCATCATCATGCATTAATTCCAGGGCTTGTTGTAAAATGTTGCGGTATAGTTCTCCATTTATTACTTCTCGGAACCTATTATCCGTCTTCTTGAAACTGCTAACCAGATACCTTTTATCTGAGGATGTAACGTTTCCATTAAATTATGTGGATTTTCTGCAACCCAAGTTCTATAATTCTGACTACATAACCAAGTAAATGTACCCATTCCTCATCAAAATAAAATATCACGTCTAATAAATTATCATTGTTCAAATATTCATTAAATCATCGACACTATTGTACTCGTTGTTTATGATCAGGAGGATGTAACTCTTGAACAACATAAATCTTATAGGGATGCATATAACTTATAATAAATGAATAGCGGTTAATTAACACCTACTGAAATGTACATATGTGGTACTTAAAATTATAGTCCAGGTACCCATTGGTATATTCCATACAAAAGTGATTACACCTAAATGTTTCCTGTACCTTTATATTTTTTTAACAATTTCTTGTTAAAGTATTAGTAACTATCTACTTTTTAACTTTCATAATGGGTAAGAGCAGTGCCACATTATTATAAAACATTTTAGACATTTGGAAACGATATATTAATAGGAACAGATACAAAATATTTGAGTTAATTTCTAAGTGTTTTCCACATGTTTGCACTTCTGTTCTTGGAGCGCACTGAATATCAGCCCTATTCTGTAACTCCTAATCGAATAGAAATGTATAAAATCAAATTGAGATTGACCCATCAAATTGGAATTGGGCAACATCAATAATCTATAACTTGTTTCGACGTTTACTATCGAAGTTGTTGGTAGAAATCGACGTGGATCGGTCAAACTTTGTCGAAGTGGTAGTTTTAGATATCGAGATCGAGTCACGCATTCGTTGTTGTGTTAGATGTGTCAGTTTGAGTTAAGCATAACCCCACAACACGACAAATCTTTTTTCCTTTTCGTGTTTTAAATCGCAGAATTATAAAATATTTGTATGTCTATACGTACGTGTATAGGTATATTTTTTATTTAGTTATCTAATTTGTGTATGGTTTATAATATTCTCTATCAAAGGGCTTAGTTTTACCATGAAGTAAAATTTTGTGCAGCGTAATGAAATCTACCATGTAGTTCAGCTGCTCTGTAGAAGTTTTTTTCTTTATTGGAGTTGGAACTGATATCATTAATATTTTTCAGTACTGACCTTCTCGAAAGATTACAGCAAAATGAATGTATTTTTAAACTAAACTATAAAATTTAGTAGGTAGGTACAATTAAATTTACCGAACATGGGATTTCCTATTAAAACACATCGGCAAGTCAACTGTGCGTAAATTTCACTTTATACCTGCGTTAAATCTAGTAAAAGGCACATTTATCTTATTTTTACAGCTAATTTGCATATTTCATATTTTGAAATTTCTAACCTCTCTAAATGTCACTTGGTTATTAAAGTCTATAATCGCAGAGCAATGCATTGTTGCCATTACTCTAAACCGGCATCGAATCGAGGTCTTTCTCTACGATTTATAAGTTCTACTATTTGAGTTACAGAATACCAATTTTAGGAAACAATTGACGCGATAGATATTGAACTTTACGAGTTGCGAACATTTCAACTCGATTTGAGCATTTCGATGTAAGTTACAGAAAAGGGCTGTATATCTCTCTCTTGTACTATCCAAATACCGCAAGTTTCTCATTACACCAGATGAGGCATCAGAAGGCAACTGATGTATCATCGTTTCTGATTCCAGTTGCTGACAAACTTAGATAGTTTCTAATTGAACCAGTGAATTTGTTGATGATGCATTAAAGATTCATTTTTGTTTTTCTGATTTTTGAATTGATAGAGGGGATCAGCTGTTGCCTGAAATGACACAGATATTGCAATTATCATATATGTCATTTAGTATGAATTCTTTTTAAGACTTTTTACACCGTTTTATTAGATGAAAAAATATATAAATAATTAAATTTTTAATAGTGTTTTCGTTGTTTATTGCGCTGACGGTTCCAATATCAGCAGCTAACTTTGTTTTCTCTGTTCTCGTTTCCCATTCCATAATTATGATACTCAAAACTAAAAAACCAGCACTGACATCAATCCATTTGGGTGCCATGAAAAAGTCTCAAGTATTAAAGTATAGAAACGTTCTCAGTGTGCGTTGGGAGCAAATAATTTAAAAATTAAGAAATGTCAATCTTAAACAATTGAAATAAGTTTGTGAAAAGTCTTTGAGTGTACTGCCACAGGTGGAGATCCCCTGAATCAGGGCAATTGAACAGACTAGAAATTGCAGAGCTGCCCTGATTTAGTCAGAGTAGTGTTTTTATCACTAGATGTTACTAAATAAGAAATGCAGCGTCTCCACTCATTTTTGTGTTTATGGGATTTCACTTCAAAATTAATTGCTTCTATAAGCAATAATTATTCTTTTTAATACACTCTTTAAGATGTGATTTTTCCTGTTGTTTTCGCTAAGATATCTTTGCTGAGATTACCTTTCGAAGTACTAGTTTTAATGTTATATATATATATGTTAATATTTGAGTACACGTTTTAAAGTGGGGACACTGGATGTGTTTTTTTTTTTGTTGTTGTTGTTTTTGCTGTTGTTGTTGTTGTTGTTGTTGTTGTTGTTGTTGTTGTTGTTGTTGTTGTTGTTGTTGTTGTTGTTGTTGTTGTTGTTGTTGTNATATATATATATGTTAATATTTGAGTACACGTTTTAAAGTGGGGACACTGGATGTGTTTTTTTTTTTTTTTGTTTGTGATGGTGATTAACTGCACGGGATAGTGTTAACGAGAAAATTCGTGTCTGGATAAATGGTTTAGTTTTCGAGAGGGTATTGGAAAGAGCACTGTAGATATATTTGTAGATGTTCTTGTAGTTCAGGTATTGTTTGGTTTAAATCTAAAAGCATGCAAACAATTCCCGTACCCTCTCAGCAGTTTTCCCCCAAACAGTTACAGACCAGCCAGCGAACGTTGCACCTGCGCCAACCGCGAATTCGGGCCTGGACTGTATCAATATGATAGCGAACGCGGTGAATTCGCGTGCAGTGTCACTGCGCGATATGATGCGTAGGGCTGTTCAAAGCGTTCATACAGAACATCGCGAACTGAACAATTCTAACTCTGCAGATCAGCACAGTTTCGTGCAGGAGGAGCCCTTGCCAACCCACAGTTGGCCGCCGGAATCCTTCGATGTGGCCTCCGGGGATGAGGACAGCCTCATGAGTTTGGGAAGCAGCGCCGCGAACAAGGGAAATAGCAACAGCAACAATGCTCCCAGTAACCTCGTTATCGATCCAGCTGAACGGAGAACAAATGCAATGCAGATTTTACATGCTCTCTTGTACGATTCTTCTGCTCTGGAACCTCATCTCATTGAACTGTTGTGCGCCAAGTGAGTATTACAACATCTATATTTATTAGATTTGTTTTGCTCTTTGACCCACTAATTTAGTTAAAGATATTCTCTAAAAGTGGTTGCTAAAAGAGCAATATTATGAATAATTCATGAGGTTTTTTTCCTGAAAATTACTTTGTTTAATTCAAGTTTTTTATCAAAAGGTCACATATACCTTTCAGACAAATATCTCGAGACAGTTTAGAACAACCTTGAATATATTTTTTTTGTCGATATAAAATTCGTAACTGAATTAAAATAATTTCAGGGATGCCCAGGGACAGACTCCATTCATGCTGGCCGTATCATCCCGAAGTTATCCAGCAGCTCTTGAATTATTCGAAAGGATCATAAAACTGGGAACGCCTCAGGAACGTGAAGAGATGATCTTCCCAAAAGGCTCCAATCCTGACCATTCCCCGTTGCACGTTTTGTGCTGCAACGACACCTGCAGCTTCACCTGGACTGGGGCAGAGCACATAAACCAGGACATCTTCGAATGTCGCACATGCGGATTGACTGGTACTCTGTGCTGCTGCACCGAGTGTGCTAGAGTTTGTCATAAAGGCCACGACTGTAAATTAAAGAGGACGTCTCCGACAGCTTATTGCGACTGCTGGGAGAAATGCAAGTGCAAGGCTTTGATTATGGGAAATCAGACTGTTAGATATGAGTTACTCACCAGGTTGGTTAAAGAGACCAACCTCGTTTGTTTGCCAAACTCAAGGTAATATAAATTATCAAAATATGTGACTTCTGTATGAACGAATTTTTTTTTTTTTTAGAGGGGAAAGTATCCTGCTATTTTTGGTACAGACAGTTGGCAGACAAAACCAAGAGCAAAGGCAGTTTAGAAATTCACGACCCCGTACCGCCTCATCTAACTCAAGAAACAAAACACCATCATCAGATAGTAAGTACTTCATTTCAGTTTTGTGACTATCTATAATGTTGTAATTATTTCAGTTGAATCCGACATGCCCGAGCATGATTTAGAACCTCCACGGTTCAGTCGTAGAGCATTGGACTGTCTCCTCGGCGACTGGAAGGCAGTTAAGAGTATGATAATGTCTGGTACAAAAGATACCAGTGACCATTTCATTGACCAACCTTACGTCGTCGGACAGACGGGTACTACGCTTCTCGATAAATTCACCCATTGTTTCTTCGTCAAGTGCCAGATGGTCCTGGACGTCTTACTGGAAACCATAATAAAGGAAATGAAGAATCCCGATCCTAAACAGAGCGATTACGCCGTCAGTGTCGCGAGAAGGTTTGTGCGGTCCGTCGTACGAATTTTCGTTATATTCAGCATTGAAATGGCTCCAAATTCTACGAAGAGACGGGGTCTGAGCAACCATAACCTACCCTTGAGCAAGTGCAAAAGAGTGTTTCAGTCTCTGTCCAAGCTCTCTATCGAGGAATTATGTGAGACCGCGGATTCGCTTATCGCCCCGGTAAGGTTGGGAGTGGCGAGACCGACGGCACCATTTTCATTAGCAACATCACCTAATGACATACTAAACGTAAGATACCGTAATACATGCTTTGACTGAATTTAATGTGGTTGGGGTTTTAGGGATCCGAGGAACTATTCATAGTAGATCCACTAGCACCATCTGCAGCTGGTGGTTCAAGAACGACATCTAACCAATCCCAGGATTTTCCGTTCTTAGCAGAAGCCGTTCGTAGAGCAGCCGGAAGTGCCAGAGATCTTCTGAATGAGATAAATATCAATGACAATGAGAGTAAGTGAATCATGAAAACGAGCGTAAACGAAAATTAACGCGTTCCAATTTTTTAGGTATGGCTATAGATAACGATGATGATAATGCTTCTGAACATGAAGACACTCCGGCAGATCGAGACATTCCTATGGCTGTCCGTCAGGCATCTTTAAATGAAAACGAGACACAAGAAACTCCATCGGACCAACAGGAAGGTCGTCTTCAGGGTGAAGAAAGCGATCCCGAACTGGACTTGCTAGCAGAAACCGAGTCGGACAGCGACGATAATCACAGCAATCAAGACGCTGCGTCAGCGCAGAGGTCTGTTCAGACTGGCGCAACGGCTGGATCGGACACAGGTAAATTGTTTGTAATTGTGCGTAAGAAAGGAACACAGTAATGACACTTACCAGTCGCGTGTTTTTTTTTTTAATTCGTACTTAAATTCAGTTTTAATTTTGTACTATTTTTTTACACTTATAAAATACATGAGTATATTATAAATATAAAATATAGGAAACCTTTTACGTAAATTGACATTATTCATATATTTCGTTAGTTTTGACACCATATTTTAGACACCATATTTTAGAAATACCTAGAATAATTGATTTTTAATATAAACTGAATGCAATACTTCATTTTTTAACACTTATTTACAACTACTCTGTAATGCTAATCGGACGCTACAGACGCCCCCAGTAGACTACCAACTCAAAAAGGAATGTCAATTCGCAATTTGAATTGGTAATTTACAATATTTATAGGCGTCACTGACGTCCATGCTTGGGCGCCTAATTTTGTAACGACCCTTGACTACTATTTTATCGGCAGCGGTGTTCGGCAGCCGGCGGCGGTGAGTGACATCACAGGAGCGTACTCCGGATTATAATCTCTTTGTTCGGTTAGTCTCGGGCGCCAGTTTCCCTATCTTTTACGTGGGGGAAACTCCACGTGAACCTTACCCTCGGTTTAGAGTAAGTGCTCGGGTAGCTACAGCGAAGGAAATTTATTCCAGGGGTCGGTTATATTTCTCTTTATACTCAAAAGTTGTTCTCTGATTGTAGTGCTATTTTACTTTTAAAATGAACGGACTTTTCAGTGCAGGTCACAAAAAGATGGTAAGACTTTTTACTCATTGGAATTTGGCAATCTTATCGGCGTTAACAATGAATATAACTGGAAATATCTTTACTAGATTTATTTTATATTACTAAGGCCTACGGAAATTGAAACAATCAAAAGCAACGTCTTCCATTGGCGGTGGGCTACCCAGCCAAGCCAACTGTTTCAGGTATTGTGGTTATTGTGCCTTACAGCGTTTATCGAGCTCGGGCGGTGGGATGCCCAGCCAAACCGTCGCCGATAACGCTGCTGCTGTACACTCAGACACCTTCACGTCTTCCACTGTCGGTGGGATACCCAGCCAAACCAGCGGTTTTGGTCAAGGGGGCTCGCAACGTTTATTGAACAAGGGCGGTGGGATACCCAGTCAAACCGTTGCCGACAATGCTGCTGCCGTACGAACCTGCACCCAACGTCTTCCACTGGCGGTGGGATGCCCAGCCAAAGCAGCAGTTTGGTTAATGCAGGGTTCGTAGTGGCCGGGAAAACCGGGAATACCGGGAAAAGTCAGGGAATTTGTTATTCTTCATAAAAAACAGGGAATAGTCAGGGAATTTTAAAAATATTCATGAAAGTCAGGGAATTTGATGTTTGCAACTGGAAATTTTGTGAAAGCCGGCCCTGGGTTCTTGAAAGAGAAAACTATTTGTGGTTTTGAAACCTTTATAA